TTGGGCAGGACCCTGTCCCCCTCTGGACTTCAGCATCCGCTGTGAAAAGAGAGATTTGGAGGTCACCTTCCCTAAGGCACTTCCTTCTTTGAAGATTGTCTGATGGAAACAGGCCCATGGTAGTCCTGGGACAGGGGAAAGGGTTGTGGCAGGGACCCTCAAGATGGGACCTTCCTAGACCTGCAGATCAGACGTTCTGTGCCCTCGACATTCACGACTCTGTGAGTCTGGGGGGCAGGGGAGGCTGTCTTTTAGGATCCCATTGCATCCCTGGCAGGCTCTGCCTGGTTAACCTTCACGGCGCCACCCCCAGGAGCCTAATTAGATTTAAGCCCCCGCTCAGCTGTGTCCATGTCCCCGTGTCCGCGCCATCACCAGGCACGCCAGGATTTCGGGCCAATTGCTTGTTTACGAGACTGTCTGTCTTGGGAGGAGGCCCAGCAGGCACGGCCAGCAAGCAAATAATTCCTCCCCCCTCAGCTTTGAACCTGGTGGCAAGAGTCATTTTAATCCCGACAAGCCTCTGCCTCGTGCGTGTCCTGATGAAGGAAAACAAACACAGGGCTCAGAATCCGGCAAACCTGGTGTCGGTTCTGGCTCTGGGACCTTTCTAGCCCCGTGGAGCCTTGGTTTCCCGGGCTGTGAAAGGGGATCGTCTATTTTGCTAAGCTTTTTGTGGGATCGAGTAAGATCGCTCTAGGTGAGCACCCGTGACACAGCGCCTTATCATGGCCTTGTGCTCCCCGCACCCCGGCCCCCCAGCATCGAGTGCCCCCTCCAGCCCCGCCCTTGCTTCTTGGGGCTGGCCCAGAGTACTTGGTTGGGATGGCTGTTAACACTCCTCTCCAAGTGTGGGGTTACGGCTCGGCACTAGATTTGAGTGAGTCCTTGCGGGAGGAAAGCCATCGGTGTCTGTGCCTTGGCCCACGCCCAGGGCTGGCACGAGCAGGGGCCTGGCGTGCAGGGAGGAAGGAACTGGGTGTGCAGCCACCAAAGCCCTGTTAGCCCCATCATTCTCCCCCCCCCCCCCCCCCCCCGGTTGCAAAGACTCTGAAAACCCCCGTCTTGCAGGTGAGGAGACGGATGTTCAGGAGGCCGACTGGCCCAGGTCTTGCAGCTTGTCGGGGCAGAGCCCTGCTGGTGGAAAGCCAGGTTGCTGGAGGCGTGGTGGCTCCAGTGGGACCCTGAAGGCTCTGCCCTGGCCCACAGCGCCCTCGCCTGGCTGGGGCGCTTGCAAGACACTTCTGGGCTCTACCCCAGCCCAGACCTGCATTTGCTTCCTCCCATGGGGCTTCTCCATCGCTCCTGTCCACCTGCCTCCTTCTCTCTCTCTCCAGAAAGTATGCCCGGGGGCCGAGGGCAGTGAGAGTAAAAGGAGTGATTTATGAACTGAGCTGTTCTTCTTAATCAGAGAACCCCTCCCGGGCCTGCATTGTGCAGATGGGATCTAACTGCCATCTGGGGCGGTGGGAGGGGCGAGGTTAATAAAGCTGTCTGGCCCAGGCAGGGGCCTGCACAAGAGAACCCCGAGGCGCTGCGTGACTTCACCCGTCTCTGCCCCTCTCCGGGCCTCAGGGCTCCCATCTGTCAAGGCATGGCAGGATTGGGTCATCCCCCAGGGGCCTCCAGGTGGCACAGGGGGAGGATGCTAGCTGGCTCCCTGGGAGTCGGCCTGGTTGCCTGATTCAGGATAGAGCAGCCCTGGGCTGGAAATTTTGGAGCCCAAGGCATAGCTCTTCCTCTTTCGGGTGTCCTCTCCGTGGGCTGGTGTCTTGTCGGGAGCTCTGATCTGGAGTCCAGCCGGCTTATGCCTGAATCGTGGCCGTGTCTGACTAACCATGTGAATAAACTCGGGCCAGTTCACTACATTCTCTCAATTTCAGCTGCCTCATTTGGGAAACAGGTTAATAAGGGTACAGACCTCGTAGGCGAGGAGTACATAGGAGAGATGCTTAGCAAACCCTGCTCCATGGTTAACACGCAGTACTATGAGTTACCATTAGGGTCGGTTATCACAAAATAGTAGCAGTTAACTTGAATTTGGGGCCACATAGGGGAAAGATGTTTATAGCTATCCCCACCAAGCCATTTGCGCAGGGTTCTCCCCCATGCCCTCCTCCACTGATGGCTCCACTTATTTCCGATATATGATGTTACTGGTAATACTGGCTCCCCATAAGAAAAGCACTTTGCAGGTTTCCAAGGGTTTTCATATCATATCAGTTAATTTCATGTGTTTCATACCATGAATTTTTTTTTAAAGATGTATTTATTTATTTGAGAGAGAGAGTGTGAGTAGGGAGAGAAGCATAGGGAGAGAGAGAGAGAGAGAGAGAGGGAGAGAAACTAAAGCAGACTCCAGGCTGAGTGCAGAGACAGACTTGGGGCTCGATCCCAGGACCCTGAGATCATGACCTGAGCTGAAACCAAGAGCTGAAACCAAACCGACTGAGCCACCCAGGCGCCCCCATATCATGAATTCTTACAACTACATTTGACTTTGAAATTGAGGATCACAGTTTTCAGAGGAGAACCTGGCATCTCGGGGAGGGTTAGTGACTTTCTAGAAGAAGGTCTCAAGGGAGCTGGCCAAGGCAAGTGCTGTCCCAGCTGAGGTGGGGTGCATATGGCAGGCATCCCCTCGGCCGCCCTTTGCCAGCTTCCCCTTAACGCAGATCTTTGCTGGGTCAGGAAATGGGAGCCAGGCCATGACTGGGGGAGCAGGAAGGACAAAGAGAGATGGGAGGTTGTTCAGGGCAGTTGGAACCCCAAAGAGGGGTAAGCTCGTTTCAGCCCAGGAGCTGGCATACAATGGGGCAGGGATATCCAGTAAAGAGGGAGCGGGCAGATGCCAGACAGAGTTCAGTGCCTCCTCCTTGTCACTGGACGGGCCTTGTGTGCCCCCGGGGCCTCTCGTTCCAGCCTCAATGTCCAGAGGAAGATGGGTCGCATCACACTCAGGACAACTGCCAGCCTGAGATGCTGGGCAGGGCTGGGCTGGGGCAGGGGAGAAACATGGATAGGAGAAAACTGACTCCTCCCCACTTCCCTGAGCCCCGCGGGGGGCTAGGCATGGGGTACAGCCCCTGAACTAGAATTGGGGCTCCTTTCCCTAACCGCAGAGACCCTACCTCTAGAAAGGAGCCTGAGTTGGCTTCCTCTCGCCCTGTGAGCCATCCCTGGACAAAGTTCCAGCCCAGAGCCTCTTGGACCTTACCTGGACCCAGGGGGTTTCTCCCTGCTCCCCCCACTCCTTCGTGCCCACCCTGCTGGTTGTGTCCTGCCTGGTAGGGGCCAGGGTGCACAGAACCTCCCCTCAGCCCGAGGGCTGATTTCAGGGGATTCATCACTGTTTAGGCCAGATGGGGCTGGGCATCTGCCCCCCCCCTTCCTGGCTCCCAGTACAGCTTTTCGGACGCCTTGCCTGGGATCTCCTGGGATCTCAGGAGGATGCTCAGCTTTGCCACTTAACATCGGTCAGTCACCGTTTCCTTCTGTAAAATGGGCCGATAGCCCACGAAGCAAGGCTGCTGGGAGGATGCAGTGTGATCCCACATGGGCGGATAAAGCACTTTCTCTCAGAGCTCGTTCTGATCCGGATTCGGGGTTTGCATTCCGGCTCCCAGGCATCCTAGCTGTGAGATGCTGGACAAGCCATTCTCCCTGCCGGGCTGGGCTTCCTCTCGGTAAACGGCCGTGCCCCTGTGAGCCCTACTTCCAGGTGTCGTGAGCATTCAGGGAGCTCACGTGTGAGCATGTAGCCCAAAGCTCTCTGCAGCAGATCCAGAGGCAGGCGATTGACGAGCCTGCCACGTGTGTGTGTGTGTGTGTGTGTGTGTGTGTGTGTGTGTGTTCAGGCCAAATAGGGGTACGGGGGGCCTCAGTGAGCTCTCAGGAGGGAGGCCCCTTCTCCTGCCTTTCCATCTGCCCAGCCTCGCCTCCACGCTTCCTCAAGACTTGCTCCCCTTTGCCGCCCCTTCCCCGAGAATCCCCCCCAACTGCCCCCAGTGGAGTAGAGTTACACCCGTGGACAGTTAGTCCTCCTTTCTGCGGGTCCCCAGTCTTATCGTCATCCCTTTCTTTCCTCCAATCTCCTCCACCGCCACCACCTGACACAGAGGGTGAGCTTAGATGCATCCCCGGTTCCTAACACGGCACCCAGCACACAGTAGGTGCTCAATACGTGTCTCCCGAGCAGATGCATGGGTGGATGGAGAGGAGTCTTTTGTCCACCACCCCTCCACTGATATGAACGGGAAGGAATCTCATCTGGCACCCGAGACCCCCATGTCTCCCCCTTCCTCCCCATGAGAATGCCCCCCACGGCCCAAGCTCCTCACTGTTCCAGGCCCTCCTAGCTCAGGACCAGGCCGTGGGCTTTCCCAAAGGTGTGGCAGAACACAAGCCTCCATCTGGGCCCATTTGAAGGCTGAAAGCAAGCCCTCATTTCCGCGGCTGGGCTCTGGCTCCCTATAGGAGCCTTCTGGCAAATCCTTCTGTGAGGGGGAAGCAACACTTTCCAGCATCCAATTTCTCCCTTGGGGCTGGGGGTTGAGGAGCACGCCCCTGCTGGCACTCTCCCGCCTGAGGCCTCCCTGCAGATGCCCAGGTGACATCCAGGTGGCATCCAGGTGTGTGGCTCACCAGGCCCGCTGCCTCCTCACAGTTCCTCAGCCACATGCGGTCTGTCAGCACAGACGAAGCCCGTGCCAGAAGCCGAAAGTCTCTTAAAGCTGTGGTTCCCCACACAGCTCCTGGGAGGACCCAGGAGCTGCCATCTGGGCAGAGGGCAGGCGGCCCGTGCAGGCCTCCCCAGCTGGAGTGGGCCCAGATGCTGAGAGCTTTTCATTAGTGCTAATGGACCCAGATTAGCAAGGCACTTGCCCTGTGTGCATCCTTAGGGCAGGTTTTCATAAACAGCTTCTTGAGCTTGGCGGCTCCTTACTGACTTCCTATAGTAATTGGATATTTTCTCCTTCTAGGACAAGCTGGGCCGATAAAAGGATATACAAGAGCCCCTCTGGCCGGGAGATTCTGTGCTGACACGCAAAGAACTGCCCAGGTGACAAGTCAGCAATTGGCGCCCCCCCCGCTCCGTGTACCTCTGCCCTCTCCCCTGACACTGCCCTGCCTCAGTTCTTTCTCAGTCTGTCTGTCTCGACCCACGTCACTTCCTGCTGTCTGTCTTTCTCCGTCTTTCCCTCTCTTCCGGACTGGTCTTTGTTTCTCTGATTCGCGAGATCTGCACTGTTCTCTGTCTCTGTTTCTCTTTTCCCACTATTCATTCATTCAGACCTATGAGTTGAGGACCCACTGTGTGCCAGGCACTGCTCAGGACACAAGGAATAAGGCAGTGAACGAAACAAGTCCCCGCCTTTATGAAGCATGCGTTCTAACAAGGGAAGATACATGCTACCAACATAAACAAGCACAAGACCGAGCCTGGAGTGTATTCCCAGGCCCCTGACGTGGCCTTCAAGACCAGGGTGCTCGGCTCACATCCATCACTAACTGGTTTGCTGACTTGGCTGCACCCCCTTTCCATTTCTCAGCCTGTTTTCTCATTTCCAAAGTGAGGGGGCCCTACCTGCTCATGACCGAGAACTTCTGTTACGGAAAATACTGGTATCATAAATTACACAAGCACCGGCTTCTAAGCCACTGGTGACGCAAAGAGTAGTGTCAGAGAGAAGTTTCCCTTAAATCCCCTTAAAGCTCTGAACCACCGGGTTTTGTTGTACGAGAAATAGTCGCTTGCATCTGGGAGTCACGTTGTACGACGAAACACCCATCTGTGAGCCCAGAGCCGTCACTTGGCCAGGTGAGGGGACACCATGATAGGCATCACGACAGGAGCCTTGAGACCATGAGATCCAGGGCAGCAGTCCCCCCTCCACCCCCATGCTCACCCTGGGACAGACCCCTGCGCGGAACCTCAGCACCTAGCCGGCTCCCCCACACGCTTTCCCCGTGCACGGGGGGAGTTGAGCTCACATGAAGTCGACTCTGCCTGCAATGTTGACTCCTGCATTTCATCCCTCTGGGCCCCAAGATTTAAAGGATTTTATCTACCAAACAGTGCTGCCTTTACCGAGTCATTTCCTAGGTATACATTCGAGTTTCTCCTGCATTTTTTGTACCGCAAAGTCATATATACCTGGAGGTTAGAGCTTCTGAACAACCCAAGAAATAGGGTCCCCAGCCTGGGGTGGTTTAATTGCCCCCAAAACCCAAGATACTTGCCCCTTGAGCCAGCTGGTGGTGAGCGAGTGGATGATTTCTGAGGTGTTCTTTGCAATCCTGAAAATAGCTTTAGGAGATTGCCCGTCTCAGGGAACCCAGTTTGAGAACCACTCTTCCCACTCAGAAATCCTCTGCATCAGAATCCTCCCCTCTCTCCTGGCGCGGGGAACTTGGCCAGTGTATTGGTGTCCGAGAGAGTAGGGGAGAGGAGCCGCCTCATGGCGGGGCCGCAGGGAGGGAAGAGGGACGGAGCCGCTGAGTGCCTGGCATGACATGAGATGCCCTGCATCTAGTCACATTCGATCTTCAGCCCACACGATTTCCTGAGGAGGTCAGCGTTCCTGGCCCCATTTTGCAGACGTGAAAGCAGAGGCCCAGGGAAGCTGTGTGTTTGTCCGAGGTCATAAGGCTGGAAAGTGGAGGGGGCCAGGGTCCCCTCCGGGTCCCTGTCAACTCCAGGGATTGGGCAAACCCCAGTGGGCCTTTCACCCCGGGCCCAGGGAGGGCGTATCATTTCCCTTCAGCAGAGAGACCTCCATTCCTCCTTCATAAGTGCCTTTGAGCATCATTTCTGAGAAACAGGACCTCCTGGTCTCAAGATTCTTCTCAGCCCACCTTCCAGAGACTATCTATGTCCCCACCCTCCTTAGAGGTAGATTAGGGAACTGGGCTGTGATTCACTTAACTTCCAAAAGGCTCTGTGGGTGAGTGGCACTCTCAGCCAGATCCAGGCAGGGATTGGGAGGGGGGTCCCCTGGTCTGTCCCTCTTGTCCGGCCGTTTGGCTAAGGAGGTGTATCCCACACTCAGAAACGCCTGATGGCAGGTGGAGCGGGCTGGCATCGGTCTTGTGACTTCAGCCTGGCAGTGGATGATGGCCCAGAAGGCTGATCGCCCTGAACAGGGAGAAATGAGGTACCAGTGGAGGTATGAAGACAGGCCTGCGTTGTGGAGGATGGATGAAGGGGGCGAGGGAATTTGCACTTATCAAAAATGATGATGAAGAGTTGTGGCTCCAGATGAAGACAAACGTGGGTTCAAATCCTGGCTGAGGCACTTCCGTGCTGTGTGACCTTGAATGAGTGATGGCACCTCTCTGAGCCTCAATTCCCTGGCCTCATAAGTGGAGATAATGTTACCTCTACCCTGGAGCTTTATGAGGATTGAGACTGGGCATGTTCCTTGGCCCGTGGTAAGAATTTAAGACCTGCCAACAGTTACTAGCTGTTGCTAGTGTTAGCTGCCACGTGCCAAGCCCTGCGCTCCATATTTTCCATGCATTATGAGGAAAGCATTATTTTTATACTAATTTTAAAGACAAGGAAACTCAGACGCATGCAGTTCAGAAACTTGCCCCCCGCCACCAGCTAAGCCTAGCAGGGCTGGGATTTGATCCTCAGTCAGGCACCAACACCCTCTCTCCACCCACACCCCTTACCCTGGAGCTGGAATTGGGCCTCTGGGTCTCCATCCTCCCTCCAGCTCCCATCATCCGTTTTTCTACCTGCTTCACCTTTGAGGTTGTCAGAGGCTCTTCTTCCCAGAGAAACGCTCCTTTTACTGCATTTGTCCAGGAGCCCAGCACTCCACAAGCTACCCCTTAGATGTAATCGGTAACGAATGTGGTACGTGATAAATACAGGTAGCCCGTTTATGAGCTGCCATTTATTATGCCCCTTAATTGCTACAAAGCCAAAGCCAGCTGAAGCCAGATCCTGCCCTGGAGAGCAGCTTGGCCTGGGTGGGCCAAGGAGGGGGCCACTAGAGCCTGGCCTCTCGCAGACTTCCAGCATCTTAGTGGGGCAGTCCCTTCTGCCCTCCAAAGGCCCATCCAGTTCAAGCCTGATGGAAGGAACTGACAAGTCATCAAACTGCTCCATCATTTTGCAAAACAAGATGCTGAGGCCAGAGAGAGGAAGTGACTCGCAGGGCAGGAGACTCGGGCTCTGGACTCCCAGTCCAGTGCTCCTTCTGCCCTTCTCTCTACCTGAAAGCTGCCCCGGGACCAGGTGGAGCACAAGATCTGGGGTGGGCTGAGCAGCATGCTTACAAGCCCTGGGATGTTGGGCAGGTCGCTTCCCTTCCCTGAGCCTCAGTGTCCCCATCTGTACAACGGACAGTGCTTCCCACTTCATGGGGTCATTGAAAGAGTCAGGGCAGGCGCTTCGTGGAGGTGGCATGTGGCTGTCAAGGAGTCAGTGCTGTATAAAGATTCTTTCCTGTGCTCTTCCCTGTTTCCAAAGAGCGCCGAGTCTCAGCAGACATGTGGAGTTGAGTCGGCCTGGTACCAAAAGGAAAGGGGGTCAGAGTGCAGCACCTACGCTTCAGGGCACTGTCCTGGGGTCCTGAGCTCAGGGCGAGCAGCGGCCCAGGGAGGTCCGTACACCTGCCGGGTTGGTGTGGCCATGGGGAAGAGCTGTCCACCCCGCTCCAGGCCAGTGCCGTCACTGACTTCTCACCACAATGCGCGATGTGGGCCCTCAGTGCCCGTTCTTGCAGACGAGGAAGCTGAGACTCCCAGAGGTTGGGTCATTTGGCAAAGACATAGCTGTAGAAAGATGAAGAGCCAAGATTGGAGCCCAGGTGTGTTCAGCTCCAGAGCCTGTGCTCAGAGCCACTGTGTTTAGATGCAGGTGAGATGCTGCTTCTAGAAGGCTAGAGCTAGAGGAAGGGCGTGGCTGGTAGGTGGGCGTGGAGATGGCCTCCTGGGGAGCTGCTCTGGAGGCAGGGAGCCTGGGCTGAGGGCTGATGGAGGAGACAGAGATGACCCACGGCTAAGGGTGAGGGTCAAGATGGTCAAGAATGGGTGGGCACGGGCGCGGACCAATCAGAAGGCAGGCTGGCTAAGCAGCCGGCTGGTCAGACCTGGGGGTCCCCACCGAATCTCAGCCCTTCCACTGCCCGCCGGGAGGTTGGGTCCCGGGACAAAGGAAGGGACAGGTCCTCCCGATCCTGCCTACGCGGGGCAGCTCTAGGCTCTCCAGCCTCAAGAAGCTCTGGAGACAAAGAGAGGCACGTGGGGCATCAGAAGGAGTGACGTGGGGCCTGTCCTCACTCTGGAGAGGGCATGGCAGAGAGAGGAAAGGAGGAAGTTGGGAGCCCCTCTGCTTGTGTGGATCCTCAGTCCCCCTCTTTCTAACTGCTGGGGTGCGGGGGACACAAGGACGCCACGCACGCAAAGCCCTTAGCCTCGAGCCAGGCTTCCTGCCCGTGCTGTTTAATTACCGCTTGCTAGGTGGCGGGGCTTTATGCAGTCCAGACCACGTACCAATCCCTGCTCTGTCCCTGGAGGAGGGCACAGCTGCCATCCCACGCCTCCAGGAGCTCACCAGAACACTGGCTGATGACGTAATGCTACACCGTGTGCGGGGAGGCAGGGGTGGAGATCAGCAGTGGCCATGGGAGCTCTTGGGCAGATAAGAGACAGGATGGGGGGTGTCGGGGATGGAGGTGATGCCTTGAGGGATGGACAGGAATTAAGTGGGAAGGGAGGAGGTGGAAAGGCAGTCCGAGCAGAAGGGATCAGGCACCAAGTGAGCTCCCGGGACTGTCCTTTGATGTTGGCGATGGGGCAGAAGTGTACCCAAAGGTGGCCGTGAGAGTCTTGGAGGCCCTTGCAGTCCATGGTTAGGGGATGGCTGGTCTCCTGTAGGGGCCAGGCGGTTAGCAGGGGCCTGATGTGCCTCGTAGAAAGGCCCCTCGGGGGGCCCTGGCTGGAAGGGGAGTGGCTGGAGGTAGGGAGACCCCAGGCCAGGGCTGAGGCCACATCTGAGTGAGAGAGGAAGCCAGGAGCAGGACTGAGGCTGGAGGCGCTTGAAGGATCCCTGAGATGGAGTGGATGGCGTCACCAGGTTCTAGCTTTGGAGGCAGATGACATTTCATAAACTCAGGCCACAGCTTAGTGGAGGAAAGAAGACACACACACACACACACACACACACACACACACACACACAAACTAGCCTTTGTTCTTCCAAATTAGACCGCCTGGGTTCAAATCTCGGCCTTACCACTCACCAGCTGCAACCCGGGCAAGTCGCCTGGCCTTTCTCGGCCTCAGTTTCAGTTTCCTTCTCTAGAAAATTGGGATGATGATTGTACTTATCTCATAGGTTTCTGTGAGTTAATACATGTCTGGTGCCGAGGATAGAGCCCTGCACCTACTAAATGCTCAATGTTATTATTCCCAGGGGTGGCGACCCGCCAGGTGACTCCAGGAACCCTGTGTTCCCCTTCTTCTCTCACCCAAACTAACAAAAGACCTTGGGCCAGGTGCCTCCGGAAGGACAAAGGCTTTGAGCCTGGAGCCCTCAGTTCAAGTTCACTCCCTGATTTTCTTTTGGAGTGGCCTTGGGTTCATCACTGTGTGGCCTGATGCGCTGGTTTCTGCCACCCAATAAAATAAGAAAGCGCATCTGGCCTGGGTGCTCTGTGCCCTGCCTGGGTGTCCCCTGCTCAATCAGCCAAGCCAGCAGGAGCCGAGGAGCCGGGCCATGTAAGGAGGGAAGCCCTCGGGCCCCAGGGCCCTTGGCTGCCTGACCCAGCACCTTCCTCATGGACTCCCAGGTGCCCGAGCGGTGCCATGGCCACTGCCCAGCGAAGGTCAATGCTTGGCACACTAGCAAAAACCACAAGAAGAGGAGATGAGAAGCACCAGACTTTCCTGCATGCCCTTCCCCAGCGGCGGGTTCTGCCTGTGCTTTTCTCCCCATGGATTCGAATGCACTTTTAAAACCCTCTAGCCTTGACCAAAATGCCACGTGGGGCTGGTCCTGTCATCTCCAAGTGGAATGAGCCAGGAGTGCGGGAGGCGAGCATAGCCCTGGCCCCTTTGTTCCTTAGACTATGAGGCCTTCCTTGCTGGGGAGGGCATCGGGTTATGGTCTGGGGTGGGGAGGGGACAGATTTGCTGAGTGCCCACCGTGTACCAGGCACGGTGCATGGGCTTTGGTGTTAGATCTTAGCATTGCTTCCTACATGCTCTGTGGCCTTGGGCAAATCCCTTAATCTCTCTGATAATCACATACTCCTTGCCACAAACTGAGCCCAGCTCTCTCTGGAGGGAGGATGGGAAACCGTGGAAAGTAATGAAGCACCATCTTCCCTACATTCGACCACGTCCAACACAAAGTGTCCTCCCAGGACCCTTTGCACCACACCCTGTCACGGAAGTGCAGACCACCTGCTGGGGTCACCTGGAGAGGGACTCAGGCCAGGCTGAGCTGCAGCCACGCCCCTCACCAGCCCAAGTCGCTCCCGGGGCCGTCATGAAGAAAGTATGGCAATATTGACTGCTGAGTATGGACGTGACCATGTGCTTGAGGTCTGACTCGTGAGAGCAGATGCTGCTATCCGCTAAACCCGGGGACGCGGAAGGGCTGCATCTTGTTGGCTTCAAGCCCCAGTTCTTGGCACCCAGTCGATACACAGTAAATGTTGGCTGAACGGAATTGTATGCAGTGACTCACTACCAGGGGCATACTTTTAGGTAGAGACGGGGAAGTCTCCTTAGGTAGGTGGGATGCCGTACGTCTCATGATGGAGGTAGTCAGGGCATGGGGAGGGTTTGGCCTCAGGAAGGGGGCTTGGGCCCCTAGGTAGGTGCCCGCCCCCCCTTTCCCCTGTGACACCCGTCCACTGGCACCATGGAACAGCCCTGGGCTGTCCTGCAAGCTGGAGGGCATGTGGGGCGGCAGGAAGTTTGTAAGGCCCGGATTCTGATCCTGTTCCATGACCTTGGCAAGTTCCTGAAGGCTCTGAGCCTGGGTGGCTCATCTGCCCAAAGGAAGGCTCACCTCTGCAATCAAGCCCTGTCTCGAGGCAGCCCTGCTGAACACTTGCCACCTGCTGGACGTCGTTCTAAGCATGTTACCGCATTATTTCTGTGAATCCTCACAATACGGCTGGGAGGAAGCTTCTGTTTTTAATCTCCTTTCTCAGGTTGGAAAGAGCAAGATTCAGAGAGGTAGAGTGATTTGCCCAAGGCCACACAGCAAATGAATGGTAGAACTGGGCTTGAACCCAGGTAGGTTTGCTTCCCCGAGGTCTCACTCCTAACTCTGGCCCCCTGAGGTAAAAAGCTACGTCCGTCCGAGAGAGGTAATTGTTACCGGTCTCCCTCTTCCTTCACGGGCTGGGCTGCAAGGGCAGGGCTGACCTCGGGGAAGCCCCGTGGGGGAGGGGCAAGGGTTCTTTCTAGGTGGGGTCCCCCAACAGGGAAACTGAGGGGCTTGCTGTCTTATAGGTAGAACACCATGGAAGGCGACTGTCTGAGCTGCATGAAGTATCTGATGTTTGTTTTCAATTTCTTCATATTTGTAAGTATTGCTGGAGCAAGCCTGGGGTCTCCCTAGGCCTCTGCTGGGTGGGCAGAACAGACCGTGGCTGAGAAACAGGCACACCGGGCTGAGTCCTGGGGGCAGGAGAGGGACCAGTGCCAGAAGCAAATCTCCCCGCCCAGCCAGAATTTCCCAGACGAGAGGCCGCCGATGGTGCCCGCCCCACTCCGCAGAGCCCAAGGTCACAGGGGAGATGTTTTGTACCAAGGGTAGGGGCCTTCATCCTGGCTGCTGCCTCAGGATCCGACCCCTGGTGGAGGGCGGGAGAGAAGGAGGGGAAGGAGAAGAGGGCAGCCCAGACGAGCCCCACTCAACCCTGAGCCCCAGGGCAGTTGCACGCCCCCCGAGCTGGCTGGGCGGAGCTGCTGTGACCACCCGATGTAATCTGAACCCTCTCAGGGGCTGGCAGTACCCTGGGTTCAAAGCCGGCTCTGCGTCTTACCCGCTGTGTGATCAGAAACACAGTTCACCTGTCTGAGCCTCAGGATCTTCATCCCTTCATTACCTACCTCAACAGGTGTTTTTGAAAACTAAGCAAGATTGGTTTAGGAAGTGCCTGGAATGTGCCAGCACTGGCTAGCTTAGCTCCAGCCTCGGCTGGCCTGTGGATTCTGTACTTGAAAGCACAGCTCCAGCTCCAGTGTCCCCACCTGCAACGGGGTTGCGTCCCCTTGGGCAGCTCAGTCTGAGCCCTTGAAGCAGCCCTCAGCACACAATTGTTGAACCCCAAAACCTTAAGAGCAATGAGGAGGGGGGCAGCTTTCACCAGAGCTTTTGTAAGGGACGGAGGGGAAAGGCAGTGTCCAGCACAGGGTGACCATGGGCCCTCTGTCATCAGCAGTCCCCGCTGGCCTTCCCTTTCTCTCCCACCAATGCTGGGTCCTTCTGGCCTCTCCGCCGCTCCCCTGCCCCAACCCCTGTACCTAAGAATATTATCTCCTGCTCCGAGCCCCAGGCCGTGCAGTTCTGCCCACCAGTTTGCAGACCCCTCTCAGACACCCAAAGCTCACCGGTTTGCTCTTAGCCGCAGCCTGGCATTGCTGGCCCGTGCCTCTGGGGGACCTCTGGGGGACCTCTGGTCCTCCCACTACACAGGGATTTCAGACACTTCACCCCATTCAAAATCTGGATGAGGCCAAATTGTTCTCCTGTTCTTTTCCCCACCTGATCTGCTTCCAGTCCTTGTCTGTCCCCAAGGAAAATGGAATGGATATTTTCTGAAACTTGCTAAGCACATTCCTATCCACTCTGTCCTTTCTTCCTTGGGGCCACCTTGCGGCGGGGGGGCGGGGATTTGTATCTTCTTTTACCCATGAGGAAGCTAAGGCTCAGAGAGGTTAAGCCACTTACCCAAGGTCACACAGCTGACAAGCGGCACAGCCCTTTCTCTGGACTAAGCTGCCTCTCTCCAAAGATGAGTAGGGCACGGAGAGATGGGCCGTGGACATGACGACATAAACAAGAAGGCTTTCGAGGAGCCGGTTTGAGAGTGGTGAGCCCACGCTGATGAGAGCTCCTGTTAGGACAAAGTGGACGGCTTGTGTCCACGTTTTCCTGGCCCCTAGCGTGGTACAGGCCTCAGAGCGTGTGCCGTGGCCTCAGTGAGTGTCAGAGAAGCCTGGGATCCAGCCCTGGCTCTGCCATGAACTTGCTGTGTGACCTTCAGCAAGTCATGGCCCCCTCTGGGGTTCAGTATGGAAGCAGAGGGTTGGACTAGTGACCTCATTATCCTGCAGCTCTGACATTTAAGGAGACTATAAAAATGGCCGATAAGTTCCCCGGGACATGGTCCCCAGCAGCCCACGAGGGGGTGTGGGCCAGAGGTTGGGTGTAGAGGACGCCCTTGAGGTCTGGGTAATCAGGAAAATGCAAAACAGTGAAAAGCATTGCTTGGACACTGGTTTGTGCAGCAAATAGGGTTTCTGCCCGGTTTTCTGGGGCTCCCCGGGGCTCCCCAGCTCCACCATGGGGCCTGACTCAGGGGAGACGGTGTGTGTGTGTGTGTGTGTGTGTGTGTGTGGAGTGTCTAACCCCCTGTCTGCCTCTTTCTTCTCCCCGCTCCTGACCGACCCTGGGAGCAGCTGGGTGGGGCCTGCCTGCTGGGCATCGGCATCTGGGTCATGGTGGACCCCACCGGCTTCCGGGAGATCGTGGCCGCCAACCCCCTGCTTATCACTGGCGCCTACATCCTCCTGGCCATGGGCGGCCTGCTTTTTCTGCTCGGCTTCCTGGGCTGCTGTGGGGCCGTCCGTGAGAACAAGTGTCTGCTGCTGTTTGTGAGTAGCCCCACCCCCACCCCACCCTTGGGTGCCCCGGGGGCAGAGTGGCGGGGGGGGGGCCTGTGTCTACACCGCAGGGGACTCCGCGGTCACACCCAGGTCTGAGCCAGCTAGCTAGGCTGTCCTCCAGGAGTGGCCCTCGTGGATGGGCGCGTGGGCAGTGGGCAGGCCTGGGTTTCAGTGTGCACCCTGCTCTGTCCCCTAGCTAATGATGTCACTTTGGTCTAGTTTCTTAGCCTCCCTGAGCTTTGGCGTCCTGACTTGTTAAATAAGGGGCAGCTTAGCTGGAGGTTGGCGTCAAATGAGGCCACCAGTGGATGCTCTGTTTCTCTGACCTTCCGTATTCCCCTGGGCTGGGTCCTTTGGGCCTCTGCCTACGTTCCTGGACTTGGGGGTGGGTCTCCCCCGCCAGTGAGGTCCTGCGGGCGCCCAAGGCTTGGAGAGCTTCTAGCTGGAGCTTCTAGCAGTCGCGCTACAGGGCCAGGTAAAGACAGCCCTGCTTAGGGAAATGTGTGTGTGGATGGGTCAACGTGCAGATGCTCCTCGTGGGTGAGTGGGCGGAGAGGTCGGGAGTCGGGCAATCCGGGACGCGTGGGTGGCTCAGCGGGAGGACTGTCTTGCAATGCCTCCGCTCCTGTGGTTTTGGGAGGTAGAGATCTGGCACCATGCCTCCTGCCCAGATTAGAACAGACCATACGGCCCCCGTTCGTGTCACAGTGAGATTCCCCACATCCCAGACAGGAAACGAAATCAACTGTGAAATGTGTGACCCGGGAGCCGGGGTCCCTTTTGGCCTTCAGCAACCTGAACACTGCGAACTTCGCATTTGGGGAGAAACAAAGAAACCTGCGGGCGCCCCCTGGCGGAGAGCCCTCTACAGTGCCAGCCCGGGCGACGCAGGCTTGGGAGCCCACGGGTACTTTAAAAGGAGCTGGGATATGGGTCCCGGGTCACGCCAACCCCTCTTTTCCTCCCTTCGCCTCAGCCCCCCGGGGTCTCATCTCTGAAGCCAAGGCAGGAGGCCAGGTCGGGGCGCTGCGCTGGGAGCAGGCTGGGGGCCTTGAGAGTCCTCCCCACAAACCGGCAGCCTCTGAGCCTGCCGCTGGATGGGTACATCGGTCCCTGTGGAGAAGACCAAGGCCCAGGGACCAGCTGAGGTTCGCCCCAGCCCCCCGAGGGAGAGCTGAGCCCCCTTAGAACCTTAAAGTACCCCTTCCACCCCTCTCTTCCGCCACCTTCTCCTTCCTCCCTTTTCTCTCCATTAGTCTCGAGATCTAGGAGACCTACCTATGTTCATCCTTTTATTTTCTTGCTTTCTCTGCCTCCGTCTCTCTGCCTCTTATCTCCTGCTTTCTATCCCTGCTGCCTCTCCCTATCCCTCTCCTGAGCTCTCCTAGTCTCTGCTCCTCTCTCCCTACTTTCCCTGTGTCCTCTCCCCTCCCATCCCTCCCCTCCCATCCCTCCCCTCTCCTCCCCTCTCTGAAGCCCAGCGCCTATTAGCCTGACGTCTCAGTGCAAGTCACAGGCGAGGGACTCTTGGACCCAAGCCCCCTGTGTCTCAGACCAGGGCTAGTCAAGAGGCTCCTAACCTAAAATGGACTCACATGTCTGAAATTCACCTAAAATTATGTGCAAAATACTACATTAGGGCCTTGGGTGTGTGTGTGTGTGCGTGTGTGTGTGTTGTGCGCCTATACATATGTGTTTGCCTGTGTTTTGTTGTGCGAACATGTATGTTTCTGGGGAGAGATGTCACAGCTTTTGGAAGGTTTTCCAAAAAGATTCGTGACCTAAAAATATAAGAAGAACTGCTTCTCTTTCTGACCTGGACTGGCCGTGTGGTGGTTCCTGCTGAGGAGCGGCACCAAGTCTTACCCATGGTAGCCTCCGGGGTCCCTCGAGAAGCCTGACGCCCCTGTTCCTCAACCTTCTGGGGAGGAAGAGAAGACTTGTCACGAACAGAAGAACCAAGAGGGAGTGACTTTGGCCACCTCAGCCGATTGGGAGGCCTGGGGTGGGGTAACAGAGCATCCCCTCCCCAACCCCCACTCTGAGGCTAAAACCCCAGGGCCCCATCACCCTCAGCCGACCAATGAGCCTAATGACCACATCACCTAATGATTAATTTTTCTAAAGATACAGTTTCCAAACACTCCTGTTGATCAGTTTTACAGCCTTTTCAAATACAGTAGGATAATCTCAGCCTATAGTAGGCATTTTGTGGCATCCCTTTCTCGCGGTTGCTTGCCTAGGAGTCGTTCGCAGAATGTTTTTGATCTATTTATTTAAAGATACAAATTTTTTTTATATTTTATGTCAAAGGCATGCTAAATTGGAAAGGAGAACAGCAAAAGGAGATGCGTGTATTTAGAAGAGATAAATGAGCTGAATGGCACATATAGTATGTAAATTTGGTAAACATTTATTAGAAACGAGAACTGAAAGTGGATGTGCCCATAGGCAGATGGGCTAGAAAAGTCTGGAAATGTTTGCAAGGAGGCAAAATAGCAGTTTCCGTCCCTTTGTGAATTTTTCCATCCGAAGCAAAGTGGTGAACATTTAATGTCCGGGAATTACTGGCAAATGTGTCCTTCGGCAAATGGAATGAGGTGAGATTAACTTAAACCCCCTGGGAAAGGCCCCGCCCCATGAGGGGAACCCCGGGGAGGCCGGAGGCATCGGGACAAGCCCCGTGGCCGGGTCCAGGGGGAGCTTCTCCGAATAACCAGCGATAACCCTATTAAGCAAGAGGAAAGTATTTCGTGCTGGAGAAGGTCAGTGGGCAGAAGTAGCATCTAGGGCTTGGGGAAACCCTGCTCCAGGAGGGGTCAATGGCAAGGAGATCTGCAGGCCCCCTCCCTCTGGAGAGAGCCCTACTTTCTCCTTCAGTGAGTTACTAGGCTCATTCTTGAATTTCATCTCAGGAATCATGAACCTCGGCTCAACGTAAACTGCGTGACAGTGGGGACCAAATCTGCCTTGTGTATATGAGTTTGCCAGGACCTAGCAGAGTGCCTGGTACACAGTAGGTGCTCAATGAATAGCCTTGGAATAAAGGGACAGAGAGGAGGTGGTCTTAGAAGCGTGACAAGAGCATGGGCTTTGGAGTCAGAAAAGTCTAGGTTCTAATCTCTGCTCTGCTACTTCCTGGCTGTGTGACCTGAGGGCAGTTACTTAACCTCTCTGAACCTAGGCTCCTCCTTTGTAAAATGGAGATGAGGATACTGCCTTCCCAGCCACAGTATTGTGATCACGGTAAAGCTCAAGGTAAAAATGCACATCTTGCTTAACTCTGTTCCCAGCACAGGCAAGCACTTGGTAAACATGAAACTAAAAGAATTAGCTTGGTCCACAAGAGACCCTATGGGCAATCTGAAAGTCTTCAGACCTGGAGGTTCTTATGAGTGTACCACCCTCTCCGGGTCCCCGGGTCCCCCGGGGAAGCTGGAGGGGGTGATGGCAACCGCAGCTGCATCACCAGGCTGCCGAAAGCACCCCAAGGAAGGAGCGCGAACGATCCAGGCGCCTCAGTGGTAAGCTCTCAATATAGGATAGCTGGCATGACTTTCTCGGGACCCGCCCGCACCAGCACTTGCCCTCGGGACAGCCGTGCCTGCCTCTTGGTTCTGAGCCACGGTCTGAGCAGCTCTCCGCTGTGCCGGCCTCGTGCAAAGCCCTTCAGCTGCACCATCCAGGAGTGCCCCACGCTCCCGGGGCGCTGAGCACGCGCGGCGTGAGCTCGGTCTCATCCATGGTTTATGACTGTCTCAGCTATGATCGATAGCCAGAGCCAGCTCGGTCACCTCGCTGAGGATGGAAACCATGTCCAAGGCCTCTCTTTGCGAGCCTGGGAACCGCCAGCGACTGCACCAAGAGGGCAGAGGGCAGGGAGGCGGTCCCATGGCGGCCATGTGAAACAGGGCCGGATGCCCATCCATCACCAGCCAAATGGAAGTGCCAGGAGCCCTGCCAGGGGCCTCCATCACTGTCACGGGAGATGAGAGGCTACACAGCTTCTTGTGGAAGTGGTGGTTGTGGGGTTGGCAGAATGGACTGTAGGAGTCGCGGTGGGGTGGGGAGGGCAAGCCTGCCCGGGGCACAGGGGGCCCTCTGGGCAGGGAACTCTCCCCCCAGACCCTAGCAATCCTGGGGAAACAGGCCCCCAGGGCTCAGAAGAGTCCCTCAGGCCAGTCGTGAGCCACGCTTTCCAGCAGAGAGAGAAGAGGCTGCGTGGTGCTTCTAAGGCCAAACAAGCCTCTATGAGCCGGAGCCCATGTGGGAGGCAGCTTGACCGGCCAGCCCGTGGCTGAAGATGACCACTAAGGACGAGGATGAAGGGGTGTTTATGCAAGGCATTCTCCCTGGGGTTAGACATTTAAAAAACAAATGAAGCCGTTGACAGGTCTCGGGATGTTTCACGGTTCACGTCCGCACCCCAAGCAGTTTGGAGAAACCCCAGGGCCTGTGTGGGGCGGTCGCTGTTAGAGGTGAAAAGTCAGGGAGGGAACGTGACTGGGGTCTTCCCGGGATGAGGATAAAGTGACAGAAACCTTCTTCTGACTGGGAGAGATGTGATCCAGGGGAGGGCTACCCAGGAGCATTGCCAACAGCAGCGGATGTCTGCGGGAAACGCGCCGAGCGAACCCCTGAGAGCCAGGCCCTCCGAGGCTCACGCGTGAGCTGGCTTCCGTGGTCCTTCTACACTTGTAAGGCCCTCAACGACAAGCTTTGCTCAGCCCCTCTGACGACATACAGAGACTTTCACATCCATTATTTCATGATTCCCCATGATGATCCCAGGAGTGGATGTTAGCATCCCCATTTTACTGACAAGGAAACTGAGGCTCGAAGGGTTTTTTTTTTTTTTTTAAGCCACAGGAAGGGACAAGGAGGCTGAGTTGGCCTGATACTGAGCCCAGGACCCTCCACCTCCTTCCAGCTCGGGCACATCCAGTGCAGGTCTCAGGGCAGCCGGCCGCGGTGACTGGGAGGGTGTGGAGGAACCAGTCTCCGTGGGCAGTGGGCATTTGGTCCTCTGCTGGTGGTCTCCAGGTGGGCTGACGACTCCGGGATTGTCACAGACTGGAAATGCCAAGGGCACCTGCAACACTGAATAATAGAGGCAAAGTCATTTCCTGTTTCTTCTGCCAACAGCCCTCAGCCAAAGCAGGGCCCACACTGACCGGGGTCTGCGATGTGCCAGGGAACAAGGTCATTGTGGTGAGCGGGTCAGTCCTGGATTCACTGGTTCATCTGACAGCCCTGTACTGACACCTTTGCTGGTGGGCACCGGGAATGCAGCATGCATGCTCTTACGGCCTCTGTGCTTCTGTTTGTGTTCTGCGGGCCAGGGGGGATCGTGCAGCAGCTGCTGGGCAGGCACCTCTGCAGGGCACTGCGATGAGGGGGAGCCAGGAAAGGCTTCTCACCACGAGGCGAGGGGCTGGGCTGCGCCTGGTCTGAAAAATGAGGAGCTTTTGTAAAGGGAAGAGCTTTCCTGGCAGAGGGAGGGTAGCCTGCAAGGGCCCCAAGTTAGGAGGCATCGTGGAAAATTTGGGGAACATCAAGAAATGCAATGAGTAGAGCAGAGAAGGATCTTGTTAGATTTCAAACTCCAGCGCCTGGGTTTCCAGATGTTGTTGGGCCCATTACCTTCCCTCCCATCTTGCTCCTTTATTGTGGCTGAAGATCAACATCATCTCCCCACTGCTCATGGGAAGGAGAGGCGGCCAGGCAGGGAGAGGTGGTGCTGCGGCGGGCGGGGTGGGGAAAGCCAATCGGGGGTCCCCAGGGAACTCTGGATTTCCATGTGGAGAGGGCCCAAACAGGTCAACATTGATGGCCTTCCAGGGCTACCGGGTGGCATTGTTCAGGCTGAACACCGCACAAGGGGCACTGTGGAAGGGGTGCCATTTGCCCGGAAGGCATATTTGTTTGTTTACCTTGCTGACCCCCAAAGATGAATTGTTGGTATGCCTATTATGAAAAAATGTCTGGGGTATGGCAGTGAAGTTCCCTTGTCTCATAAAATTGGTACATTGGGTCAGTTGCGTGGCAGACGGACGGGTGTGTCAGCGAGTGGTCACCTGGCCCTTTCCCGCCACCCTTGGGGCTCACGAGCCTGCCGCTTCTCTTTGCAGTTCTTCCTGTTCATCCTCATCATCTTCTTGGCAGAGCTCTCGGCAGCCATCCTGGCCTTCATCTTCAGGGAGAACGTACGTGTGGGGGGCCCCCCTTTGTGGCCAGCCCCTCCCTTCCTTAGAGAGGGCCCCGCAGAGTCCGCAGCCTCTCAGCCAGCAATTCCAGCCCAAATCGTGGCCCGCCACCCCAGCGCCCCTCTTCCTGCAAGGGCTTTCCCAGAGGGCAGACTCGGAGGGTCCTTTAGGGCCTCTGCTCTTCCAGAGCAGCTGATACCACCCCACACCTGATTCTGAAATCTTCCATTCCACCCCGCGCCCAGCCATAATTGTTTGACAGGCAGAGGATAGTCAGCGAGGCTGTCCCCCAAGCCCTGGGATATGTGACATATGCAGGAGGACAGAGCAGAGCCCTTTCGGTTGAGGCCCTGGCCAGTATCCAGTTTGGGCAACTTGCCCTCACCAGCCACTTTTTCCGGGAGCTCTGACCACCCAGGGCACCAGCCCCCTCCCCTGAGTCTATAGGAGCCAGGCACGGCAGCCACAGGGGGCCTGGAAGCAGGAGGGGGAAGGAAAGAGGCGTGAGGGGTCTGGAGACATAAGCTGGTCCAGGGGAGCAGGAAGGCAAGCCGTGGACACAGGGGAAGAGGCAGCCGCTCTGTGGGCAGAGAATGGAGCCTGCAACTGGGCACCATGCAGGGCCCTGTCCTTTCACTACAGAGGGGAGAACAGTGGTGAGGCCTGGGGAGAATATTTTGAGGGCAGGAGCACCTTCCACGGACCTGTCTAGAAACTGGATTTGCAGACTCCCCGCTCCACACCGTGACTTCTTCAGGGCCAGGGACCCGGGGTACCCCCTGGCTCTGATGAGCAGCTCAGGGGAGAGGGAGTGGGGCTAGGAACAAGCCCCCCACCTGGATAAACCCTGCTTCTGAGAAGAGCTGCAGGGCTGAGAGAGCTTCCCTGTGTGCCCTGGCCTTGGGCTCACCGAGGGGTGTGCGGGTAGACTTCCTTTTCCTGCCGGTGATCCGGTAAGGGGAGGCCACAGGCCCTGGAGTGGGGACTCAGGGGCCACCCCAAGTTAGTGGTTTAGGAGAATGCCCAGCCCTGGGACCCTGGGGCCTTGCCTCCCTCCAGAAGCAGCTAGCTGAAGAGACCAGGCCAGGGTGGGGGCTGCCCCACGCTGCTGGGGGGTTGGGGGGACTCTTACACCGCCCTCTGCCTCTTCCCGCAGCTCACCCGCGAGTTCTTCACCAAGGAGCTCACCAAGCACTATCAGGGCAACAACGACACCGATGTCTTCTCTGCCACCTGGAACTCGGTCATGATCACAGTGAGTGACCGCCCCCCGCCCTGCCCAGGGATGCAGTGAGCCTTCAAAGCCATGAGGCCAGGTGCAGCAAACGTCTGGCCTCCAGAGCGCGCTTGGCTCACGTGCCTGTGCCAGACATCACTAACCAGTCGGGGCTGGCCCACTGAGCCCAGCCTGGGCCTGGGAATCGCCATCCGCCCAGCATTCATTATTCATTTAATGACCCAGCCATCATTAAAGGCCCATGGAACACAGTCCAAACTCTGGCTGAAACCTGTTTGCAATCCCTGACCCTAGTCCTCTGTCATTGTCAGTGAGGGTAATCACAGCCACTGTTGAGTGGGCGCTAAGGCCCGGGGAGGCGGGAATTGTCACCACCATCCCCGTTTTACACAGGAGGACACCAGAGGCTCAGAGAGGTTGAGCGACTTTCCCGGGGTCACACAGGAGGAGAAGAGGGAGCCAACCCCTAGCTGAATCTTGACTCCGCTCCACCACCTTGCCTTATGGTGGCCTCGGGGGAGGCCATCTGTCCACCTCTGCCCCCAGGGCCCAGCTCCCACCCCCCCAGACTCTTCCGTTCGCTCTCCTCCTAGTTTGGCTGCTGTGGCGTCAACGGGCCTGAAGACTTTCGGTTTGCGTCAGTTTTCCGACTGCTGACTCTGGAAAGCGACGAGGTGCCCGAGGCCTGCTGTCGAAGAGAACCACAGACTCGGGACGGGGTCCTGCTGAGCAGGGACGAGTGCCTGCTGGGAAGGGACCTGTTCCTGAACAAGCAGGTAGCAGGCCCTGCTCTCCCCCCAGGCAGGGGGACTTGGATGGCCAGAGCTGGGCGGGTGGGTGGGAGCTATGAAGCCCCTGAGGTCCAGCCAAAGTAGAGGAAGGATGAGGGTGGCAGATGGGCCGGTGATGGCCCAGCCAGAGGGGTGGGCCTTTTGTCAGGGGTTAAAGGTTAAAGGGTGAGTAGGAGCTGTGCGGTGGTCCGGGCAGAGCACTCCCTGAGCTTCTGACAATGCAGGTCGGAGCCCAAACCTGAATTACATAGAGGGGGCCCCTCCTTAGCTCTTATTGTGGGGGAAGCTCACCTGTGCCATATAGAAGCCCCCTCTGACCCCCAAGGACTTTATCTCAGTCCCAGGAAGAAGCCCTTTCCCTTTCTTGCACGTGTCATCTCTGGGGGAGACACAGGGCCCCTGCGCGCGCGCGCACACACACACACTGTGAGACAGATAGTGCCCTTGTACTTGATTCCTCCTTCCCACCAAGCAGCAACCCTCCCTGGGCCCCTGGCCCCTCTGGTGTATGTGTGTGAGACCAGGCTGGGGGTGGGAGGGCGAGAACAAAGATGAACCCAGGGCATGCCCCATGCCCCTCACTTGATTCAGCTTCTCCCGAGGAGCTCCTGGGAGAGTTCCAGATGCAGGGGACACAGCAAGAGACGGGAGACAAGGCGCTCACGATCTAGTTAAAGAAAGCACATGATAACCAAGGAGCAAACTATAAGTAGTAATTTCACATGGTCATGATTACTATAAAGAAAATAAAACCAGATGCCAAGCTGGACAGGACGGGGATGGGGGCCGTAGGGCAGGCCTCGGAGAGCCCCAAGAAGGGAGGCCGCGTGCTGAGGCCCGCCCCTGGCCCTCCACTGAGGTCTTCTCAGCCTCAGCTTGGAACTCGGCACCCCCTCCCCCACCCACGTGGTGCAGAGGACTTCACGGGGGCCCTGGGTTCAGGCCACTGTGAGCTTGGGGCAGGGAGGGCCACCAAGGGCTTGGGTCTCAGCCTCTAGGAGAAGCTGCAGGGCATGGAGGGGAGGCAGGGGAGGTCTCAGGCTTCCATGTCAGGCAGGCCCGGACTGTTACCTGCTGTGACACCCTCTCTGGACCTCGGATTCCTCACACCGTCACAGAGCCAGCAGTCCTCCTTAGAAAGATGGCATTTAGCAGATGCCATCGCCACCGGGGAAAAACGGCACTTCCTGCTTCCCTGACAGGAAGGCCAGGTGACCCTGCAGTAGCCAAGCGACTTGTCCAACTTGCGTACGGTCTTTAAGAGAAAGCCCTGGGCCGGCCCCTCCTCCGCTCCCCCTGGCAGGCATGAAGCTGTGGTGACTACCATCTGGGACCTGGCCGTGGAGGGTGGCACCCTAGGCTGTCAGGGCATTACGAGAGGGACCCGGGCCGCGGACGGCTGCATGAAACAGACAGGCCACCTCAGCTGAGGATTTCATATGAAAGGCAAACGAACTTCTAGCTTGTCCAAGGCCCTGCTGTTTGGGATGCCTGGGGCCCAGAGCCAAACCGATGTCCTAAGGCCACCTGTGGATTGTTCCGGGAGGCTTCATTGTTCCTGTAGGGCTTCATCCTCATAAGCTTCCCATTTCTGGACTCATCCTTGGTGATGACACCTCCTTCCATCTTCTGGGCATGACTTTGGGATCAGAGCTCCTTGGGAAGGTCCCTGCACAGCTGCCTCAGTTCTTTATGGTGCCTCTTCCTTTTCTGGGATCCTTTTCAGAGACCCTCACATCCCGCCCCCCCTTGAGCATCCTTCCTTCTCAAAGCCTCTATGGAGGGACTACCACTATTTGGTTTTTCTCCAAAGCCCACCTCCCTAAAGCCCAGGGTGCATTTCTGACTGTGCCTTGCATCCCCGTCACAGTCTTGAATCAGTGAGCAAAACGACTGAATGCAAGGACCCGAAATCCCAACTAAAGGGGTTTATGCAAATGCCCTTTGTGCTTCACACACAGCAAGAATTCTGGAAGGTGGTGGCTTCTCCCATTACATCAGTAGCTTTGTCCTGTCAGTCAAAGCCTGGTCTCTGTGATCTTCGTGGCCTTTCCTTGGTGGCAAAATGGCTGCCATGGCTCCAGACATCCCACCCATGTTTAAGACAGACAGAAGGGAAAGTGTGGCACCACTGTCTTTCCCAGAAAGCCCCAGTAGACATCTGAATAGATCTTGATGGCCAGGACTCGGTTATGTGGCCATCAAGGGCCAAGGCAGAGGGCACTCATCTGTGGATGTTGAGTTAGCCCTCCAATGTTTACCATTGGACTCCAACGAGCAGAAATGAGGAAATCCCGAAAGAAGGTGATCCATGATGAATATTCAGACTCCCCCACTGGTATGAGTCAGACCCACCAAGGCAGTTTCTCCAGCTCTTCTTCAGCCTTCCCTGGGTCAAGACAGTCACCCAGGCAAGTCAGAAATGTGTTCTCCTGCTGGAAACGAATCCGGGGGTCTCCCAGTAGATGATGACCTTGCTAGAGCTTGACTCCAGGCCAGAGTGGTGACCACCAATAAGAAACCACCCATATTCCCCATCTGTCTGGGTGATCTTAAGCCCTCTCTCCTCACAGCATCACATTTCTCTGCTTTATCCCCGGTGCTCCCCACCCGCTCCCTGGCAGGTTGTGAGTCTGGGTGCTGCCGTGACTGTCAACATAAAGTGCTACACCCTCATCCTCCTGGCATGGGAAAAACATTCCAGCCAGAGAGTGAAAGCAACATGTACAAAGGTCCTGGGGTGGCAAGGAGCATGGTGTGCTCCAGGAACCAAGAGAGGAAGGCCAGTAGGGCTGGAGCAGAGTGAGCAGGGCAAGACTGGCTCAAGGTGAGGGCATCGGCAGGGCCGCTCGTGCCCTGTGTGTGTCTATACCCATCTCTACCTCAGTGTGTGTATCCCCAGCGCTGCTTGAGAGGGCAGTAATAACAGAGGAATTCATCCATTTAGAGGGGCCTGGAGGGCTGGGCTTGTCTTGGAAGGCTGCCCGGAGGAGGTAAAGGGTGCACTGGGCTTTGAGGAATGGGCTGTGTTTCCTTGGGGCAGAGGCTGAACACCAAAATCCTTCAGCCAGCAGGCAGCTAATAAGAAGGAGTGGAGAGGGTGGGTGTAGCTCAACAGGGAATGACGGGGGCTGTGGACCCCCAGGGAGCCCTTGTCCCATCTGACAGGGACCTCCATATAGAGATGATGACTCCACTTGCCGGATCTGGTTTTTCTTTTCTTTTCTTTTTTTTGTAAGATTTTATTTGTTTGACAGAGAGAGACACAGTGAGAGAGGGAACACAAGCAGGGGGAGAGGGAGAGGGAGAAGCAGGCTTCCGGCGGAGCAGGGAGCCCGATGCAGGGCTCGATTCCAGGACCCTGGGATCATGACCTGAGCCGAAGGCAGACGCTTAACGACTGAGCCACCCAGGCGCCCCTGGATCTCCTGGTTTTTCGAGAGCAGCAGGGAGTTCAGATATTTTGGGGAAATTTTTCATTATTCCAATCACTGTGGCTACTACACAAAACGTTTATGGTGGATGTGGTGCTCAGGCTGGCTGTTCCCAGCCCCACCTGAGGAGCTGGAGGGCCAGGAGGGGCTTTGGTGTGATGCTGCCAAATTGCTGCTCATGAGCCTCCTGCCCCCCACCCCCTCCCCAACCAAACGGTGCCAACAGGGGTTTGACAGGGTAAGGCTGCTGCTGCCTGAGCTTTGAGGCCACGGGCCAGTTCCCAGGCTTCATACCTCAGTCCTGATGCTGGCCCCTGACCCCAGCTATGGCCTCACCTCTGGTCCTTCCCTCCCAGGGCTGTTACACAGTGATCCTCAACACTTTTGAAACCTACGTCTACCTGGCTGGAGCCCTCGCCATAGGGGTGCTGGCCATTGAGGTAAGTAAAAGCCCTCACTTCTGCAGCTCCCCAGAAGCAAGGCACATGCGGGGTCCCAGAGAGATCCCCAGCCTACCTCTGTCTCCACATCCTAAATCCAGGACCAAATGGGTCCCCCACTGCGGAAACTGTGGGGTGGTAAAGCGCAGCTGGGTCTGTCTGTTGCCTGAGTCACTGTTGGACTCTGGGCTCATCTGAGCACGTCTCTGGCAGTGAGTGGGCGAGCTCTGAGAGTCACCCCCCAATCTTTCTCCCACTGCCTCCCCATCCCTGTTCCTCTCTGGCTAATCCTCCCCAGAGATCCAGAGAGAACTCCACAAACTTCCAACACCGCTGCCTTGAGGGAGGGGCTGCGGCTTGTGCTTCTAGATCAGGCCCTTTCTCTGTGGGGGGTGGGGCCCTGTCGACCTCACGAGGACGGTCTTTTTTTTTTTTTAAGATTTTTATTATTTATTTATTTGAGGGAGAGAGAATGAGAGATAGAGAGCACGAGAGGGAAGAGGGTCAGGGAGAAGCAGACTCCCCGCCGAGCGGGGAGCCCGATGCGGGACTCGATGCGGGACTCGATGCGGGACTCGATGCGGGACTCGATGCGGGACTCGATCCCGGGACTCCAGGATCATGACCTGAGCCGAAGGTCGCCCAAACCACTGAGCCACCCAGGCGCCCACGAGGACGGTCTTAATTAACCCCCTTCTGCCCCAGTCCCGGAGCCCCCTCGAAAGGAAGGCAGCTGCAGACCCTGGCCGCCGCCACCAGGTGGCGCTTCAGCCGAGGGGCGGAGCTGCCCCTTCCTTCTCCACCCACCCCCACCCCCTTCTGGATGTCAAAGCTCTCCCGAAGTTTGGACTGACCGCGTAGTAGCCCGTGCCTGACCATCTCCAGGAAGGACCACTCCCGGGCCTCAGCCAGTCGTGGGCGGGCGGGGAAACGAAGTCGGGCAGCCTCCCCGCCCCCCCTTCTCAGGGTGTCCTCCGGCCCCACGTAGAGCAGTTTTGTGGAGACTACTGGGGATGGGGCAGAGGGAGGGGTCGTTTATTCGTTCATTCAGCAAGCACAGATTGAGCCTCTACTGTATGCCAGCACCGTTCCAGGTGAACAAGGTCTCTGACGGGGCGGGGAAGGGGGGAATGAACGAGAGACAGATAAATCTGCTGGGACTGCGGGAATCGCAGGCGTGTGTCCGGTGCAGGAAGAACACGGGCTTTTCGGGGTTAACTCCCAGCTCCGCCTCTCCCCAGACGGGGCCTCTGGGCCACAGAGGACCTCTTTGCAAAATGGAGCTACTCCCCTGCTCCCAGGCCGGGGTTGCTGCGGGGCGTCGCAAGGATGGCCGAGGATGGGGACTCCGTGCCTGGCCGGTTGTACTAGGGGCTTATTAGACAATGTCTGTATTCTTGACCTGCTGTCCTCCCCCCCCCCCCCCGCCCACAAGCCCAGCTGCACCCCGATGGGAGGCAGAGCTGTGCTCCCAAAAAGGGACTTTTGCTGTATCCTTGTCCCAGCCTCACCTCCCCCACCTCACTTCCCCAACCAGAGATCTGGCCCTGAGCCTGTGGTCTGGGGACTGTCCCTTGTGCTACTTGCAAAAGACCCCTGTCTATGGGGGCCTCAGCCATTCTGGTCAGAGGGGCATCCCCGAATCTAGGTCTCTGCCTGCCCCCTGCCCCCTCCCCCAGGGCCCTAGTGAGGTGTTCACTGATTGTGCTCTCAACTCTGGCAAGGGCTACATCTTCCCTGCCCCTTAATAATGATGCTGGTCACTTTCTCCCACATCCACTATCTAACGGGCATCACTGCGTCATTAATCACTTTATACTTCAGTCTTACTCCCCTCCTGTGAGCTGGAAAGCGGAGTGTGCAGCACTTCTCAGCACGGGCTGTGGGGTCAGAGTGCCTAGACTCAAACCCCAGCTCCCCTACTTGCAGCTGTGTGACCTTAGGCGGGTTGCATGACCTCTCTGTGCCTTGCCTCCTGCTCTGTCAAAGGTTTCTGAGAAAATACTTAGAACTGGGCCTGGCGCACCGGAAGCCCTCAGGACATGCTCAGGCCCAGAGAAGGGACACATCTGGCTCAAGGTTGCTGCTGGCAAATAGGGGAGCTAGATTTGAACCCATGTCCAAAGCCCCCTTCTTTCCATGCCTATGCTGCACGAAGGGGGCCAGTGGCTGGCAAAAGGTGCTTGCCCTCAGGGAACGTCAGGGATCCCTCCTGCAGGAGTGTGCCTAGCGATGGGTAAGCCCCCTTTCTGGGCCGATGATTACTTCCCCCTGGGGTGGGACAGCCCCATGCCTGGCTGGGAGCCCAGCCTAACAAGCCAACTTCTACTTTTCTGCAGCTTTTCGCCATGATCTTTGCCATGTGTCTCTTCCGGGGCATCCAGTAGAGGGCGTGGCCTGGAGCCTGAAGCCTCACCCACCACCACTGCCCAGCACCCAAAGCCCTCCCCTCCCCCGTGCCTCTGCCCTCTTGGCCCCAGGGGAGGAGGTGAGGTCATGATGAGTGGCCAGGAGAAGGGGCAGAGGAAAATAGCTATTTTTTTAACAAAACAAAATGAAGACAAGACTACGGATGGATGGACCCCGCCTCGTCTCCAGGTGGGTGCCATGGGCTCTCTGCAGGGGTCCTGGCGCCTGAACCCCAGGGAGGAGTCTGCACTAGAGACCAAAGGAACCCCAGGACCAGATTCCTTCCTCGGTTCCACCAGCCTCTGGCAGCCCCAGGCCTGGGCCTTCTCCTCAGCTCCAGGTGCCAAGAAAGTGTGGATTTAGCCAACAAGGAAGCAAAAGCAACTCTCAGAGGTCGACAAAGCCCCGGGGGGGCCCCAAGGAGACTCAGTCACCATGTCCTTAAGAACTTGGAACCTAACGTTCAACCTCTGGTCCTCTGAGGATGGAACTGTCCCTGCCCCAGGCTGGGGCCAAGAGTGGGCTGCAGACACTGGATCCAAGAATGGCCTAGCCGGCGGGGTCCTTGCTTCCCTCATCTGTTGGATCAAATAATCTGGAAAGCCCAGAGAGGGGCAATGTTTCATTCACAGTCACACAGCATATGCATGACAATTCTGAACAAGAACCCAGTCGTCTCTAGGCTGCCTGTCGCTCCTTCCAGGCCTCTGTATGTCCCAGCAGATCCGCTGCTCACACCCTTCCCTGGCCTCAGCATCCTGGCTTCCCCAGGAGAGAGAAAGCAAGCTGGTCAAGAACTTCCCAGCTCCACAGCTAAGAAAATTCTGGACTGTCCTCCTTGTTCCCTTCCCACCTCCCCACACTTCTTTCTAAGCTCCCAGGGGGACACACACACACACACACACACACACACACACACACACAACAGTCTCTTTTCCACACTGCCCACTTCTTCCCACAAGCCCAACCCCTTCCCTGTTCTCCATCAACTCTGTGGCTCCCAGGGCTGGAAGGAACCCCCAAGATCATCTGGTTCTCCTCTCCCCACCCAGAACTAGGCTTGGATGTCTTCCACAAGATCTCTGCCAAGACTTTGCCCCCTCTTCTTGCATACCTCCAATGATGGGGAGCTTACTACCTCCCAAGACAGACTTCTGTCTTGGCACTGCTTTGAGATTTTAGCATCAGCTCAGTACACATTAGAGTTCTCTGTTGTTCTCTGGTTCCATCCATGGCATCCCACTCTCTCTCCTTCCCAAAGTACTAAGGCCACACGTTGCCTCCCCCAAGCCCCATTTTCTCCAGGCTAAAGAGCTCCAAGACATCTCATGTCTGCTGCCACATGGCTTCCTGTCCCTTTATGGTCCATAGCACACTTCTGAGTGTTTCTTCCAGGCTCAGGCAGGGAGAGGTTTTCCCCTAGACTCACACCCACACAGCACCCACAAACCAGTCCCTCATACACAGGCCTCACATTCTAGACCAGTGTTGGCAACTGTATTGCAAGATGCCTCCACCCCAGTGCATCAGGAGTGACTGCCGGGGGCTGTTCAGAGGATCTGAGCTTTGGCCTGGGGTCAGGGGGCCGGGAGGACGGCGTGATCTTGATTGGTGATGTCTGTCAGACAATTAAGACTTGATTAGTGATGTCTGCCACAGGCATGGCAGTGGGAGGGGCAGCATGGTGCCCGGTCTCCTCCCCACACTCCCTCTTCAGGGTCTGGGGAGAGCCCATTCTAAATCCCAGGCCCTGTGTCAGCTTCCAGCCTCCCAGCTTGCCAGCCACTGGGAGAGACAGAGCTGTGGCTGGAGCCCATGCCTCCCTGCTCTGCCACTGACCCCCTTTAGAGATGCAGCCCTGAGCTCTGTGCCTGCTGTAAAAGTTGGGTTTGACCCTCCTCCCCACTCTCCCCTTCCCCATCCCATCCTTCTGCTGGCCCCCCTCCCCACCCCCAGTCCCAGGTCCCCCTCCTGGTCTCCGAGCTGGGGCTTTCCATATTGTCCCTGTAACAGCCCGCCCTGGCAACTCCGGACATGATGCCACGAACTTCCCAGTGACCCCGAGTGCCCTGCAGCTGGTAGCCCAGCCCAGCCTGAGCAAGGCCTTGGGCTTGTTCCTCTCTAGACCCACCCACCCACCCACATGCTTGGCTCCAGCTTCCTGGCAGAGGCAAATGGCTGGTCTGAGGTTGACAAAAATAAATACTGCGGGACTCAGGGTCTCACGGGGCAGCCGTGTGGCTCCAGTCCAGGGGCATCCCAGGCCTCCGGGTCCCATCCGGTCCCCTAGCAGGAGAACCTGGGGCCTTCAAGGTAAGAAGGGCCCGGCTTCTGGCACCCGCTCCCCTCCCTCCCCCAGTCTCGTCCATTCCCACTCCTTGTCACCCCCCACCCCCGTGAGAATCAGTGGGAGGCAGGGCAGGTCCCAGAGGAACATCTGGCTGGGGCAGGTTCAAGGGCGGGTGGTGAGCCTCATCCCTAAGGGCTTTCCCAAAAGGTGCCAAGGAGCCCCGAATCCGCTGCTGCCCACCCCGGGGATGGAAAAGAAGAGCGGGCAGTCTCTAGCACTGCCCAGGCTGGTAGCTGTCTGCAAGGTTGTCTGCAGCCATTCCGAGGCGTGAAGACTAGAGCCCAGCCCCAGTCGGGCTCCCCCCCCCCCCACCCCGGCCCAGGGATCTGAGATCTAACTGGGCCGGTCCACATACAGCCCAGGACAGGTGCTGGTGGCTGTGGTTTGGCTGCTGAGGCGGGGGGGACTTCCCCTAGGCAGCTCACCAGGCAGGAGCCAGAGCAGACCCCCCCCCCACACTGTTGGTCACACCCACACCCTGGACTGCAAGCCAGCTCCCTGCTCCAGAGCCCCTGCCTCTTGGAAGAGGGAAGCCATCCAAAGGGTTTGGAGGCCCTCTTGTCCTTCCATGCCTAAGGGGCCCAGACTGGACAACCCAAACCAGCCGAGGCCCCAGCACCCCCATCTCCCAGAAGCCCCCTCTTCCCTTCCCCCCATGGGTCCTAGGTCGAAAGTCTATTTTGAAAATTGTAAATGTTCCTTGCGGTAGATAGCAGAGCTAATTTATCATGTTTATTTCCTGTGAGCCCCCCCTTTTTATAGTCTATATCAAGAGGAGTTTTTGTAATATAAAACAGGACACCCACACTGATGGTTTTGCACTGGTTTTTGTGACTGTTTCTTACAAAAAGAAGAAGGAACGAAGAATAAATAGTGACTGTGAAGAAAGGTGGTCTTGCTTGGCGGGGCGGGAGGGAGACGGGGGCTGAGGTGGGAGCTTGGCCAGAGGGTGCTGGGCTCCAGGGACAAGGGTGGAGGGTGGTGGGGGGGGGGGTCGTCCCAAACCTTCAGGATGGAGAGCTGGGCCCACCCTGGGTCTTCTTCAGATGTGTGGGTCCTCCTCCCCATCACCCCTGCCTCCGTCCCAGCAATGGCTCCTTGCCTTAATGTGCCCCCGCCATGTCCCCAGACCACATGGCTGTTTGCCAGGCTCCCTCCCCCTGGGCCTAGCTCCGATGTCCGAGCCAGCAGCACGGAATGTCAAGCTAGCGCCATCCTGGCAGGCCCTCCTGACCACGCAAGGGGCAAGGCCACGTTGGGGGGTGAGGCCGCTCGGCCAGCCCAGCCCCAGCAGCTGCCTCGGCGGCTAAGCCCGAGCTTTCCCGAGCTCTCCACTTCCGCCGGCCACCACGTCCCCTGGGCACGAGGACAAACCACCCATCACCCGACGGAGGAGGCACCAGGCCTTAAAAGGCCTGCGTCAGTAGGACAGGACTGTGGCCCCGGGGGGCGGTGGGCGCCCCGCCCGGCCAGGGCTCGTGAGCCAACAGCTGGATTCTGGGCAGAGGCCCACACTGCAGCGGCAGGAGACAGAGGTGAGGAAAGAGCCCAGCCTCTCCTTAGCCACCAGGTTCCCGTCTGCTCCCCGACCCACGGGGCCTCTCCCCTCGGCTGTGGGACAGAAGCAGTCGCGCTGCTCTGCTGGGGACCAGCTGCACGGCTGCAGGGACAGCTGGGCCCGGCGCCGACAGGGCAAGGTTCCCGGGCAGAGCTGCAGCCAGCAGCGGCCAGAGCTGGGCCGCCCCTGCCGACCACCCACCTCGCCCCACCGAACACACTCGATTCCAAGACGAGAAGCAAGTGCGGGGCCCGGGCTGCCTTTCTCCACACCTGTCCCCAGAACAAGAGGGCCACCACGCCTGGGGCACATGCTTGTGTCCCAGAGGGAAGGGGAGGATGCGGAGTGACAGACAACGGGGGGCACACGGGCTGGGGAGGGCGCGGCAGGACGGGGGGGGGGCTTCAGCTCTGAGGGAGCCGCTTGTCAACCTCCTCCAGGGCACTCGGGGCGGGGAAGGTGCACGAGGCCTGCTGAGATGTATCTATTTATTTCCCGTGCTGACTTGGAAGGGCACCCAGCCGTAGCCCACCGGGTCTCAGGGCAGCACCCTGGGGAGAGGGTGAGGGTAGGTGAAGGGGCTGAGCCAAGCGGACGGCAGAACCTGAAGGACATACCAGGGGACCAGGAAAGGCCGCTGCTTCTCTTTCTTCCTCATCTCCAAACCCCATCACTCACGGGAGCCTCTCCACAGGGTTCGCTCTGTGCCCACTGCCAGGGCCGGCCTGGGGGGCGAGGCTGCTGGTGGCCTCTGGACCCAGGCCAGTTGAGGGGAGGGGGCTCCTGGGAGCCTCCAGGGGCTGGGCTGGAGGCAGAACAGCCTAGAGCAAGGCCCTAGGACAGAGCCCGTGGTGGCGGGGCTTGGGCTGGGGACGGGTTCTGGCTACAGGTGGCCCGCCTCACGGAGAGGCTGAAGAGGGAGGTACCAGCTCAATGACAGCCATCCCTGCCCGTCAGCCCCGCAGCTGGGCTGTGCGAAGGGCAGGGATGTGCACTGATGGGGCCGACGGCAGCTCCCACAGGTGGCGAGGGCCCACGCCGAGGAGTACGGGCCCAGGGTCAAGCTGTCAGATTTCCCAGGCATACACAGAAGCCACGTTCCGCTGTGTGGGCACTAGGTCGGGTGGGGGTGTGGGGAGGACAGGGAAGCAGGGCACGCCTCTCTCAAACGAAAGAAGGGCCTCCTGGCAGAAGGGGCAGGAGCCTCGCCTCAGCCCAATACCCCGTTACTCAAGCTCTTCAGTCAGTGTCTATCCAGGGGCTCCGGAGGCCAAGAGCAAGAAAAGGAGGCGGTGCTGTGTGGGGCGAAGGGCAGAGGGTGTTGAGGCTCTGTCCCTCCCCAAACCTGAGAGTCCAGGAGATCACAGCATTTGGGGGTGCCCAGGAGGAAAGGAAGGCGAGCGGGGTCCTTCCTGCCTTCCAGGAGCCAGAGGGAAACTGAGGTGTCTTGGGGCCTCCCTGGCCCAGCGAGTGGCTAGACTTTCTTGGGTTTTCGGCCGACCTGGTAATAGTAGTAAACGCTGATGGCGACAAAAAGGAGGCGGCTGGCCAGAAGCAGCAGGATCCCCAGGGACATGAAGCCCGTCTCAGCCAGCGTGGCAGTGACCACTGCGGGAGAAAGAGCGGGAGGAGACAGAGGGCAGACGAGGGCCGCGCCTCAGCCCCCAACACAGGCTGACCTGCTGCGCCGGGGGCTGCTGCCGGCTGCCGGACCTCGCAGACGTGTCTGATCTGATGTCCCCCATGGGGCAGGTACGGGGGTGAGGGCAAGCGTGTGGACCGCACTGGGTGTGCGCCGTCATACCTGCGCCGGGTCAGGGGAGGCTGCAGGTGCACGTGCGTGTGGGAGGCCGTGGACGTGCATTACGTATATTCAAGAAGGTACATGTATGTCAGGTGCGTGAGCACAGGTGCGCAGACATACAGGTAGACACGGCCGCATGAGCCCCTCCCCCTCAGATTTTCATCCCTTCCTGGAGGCCAAGTGGCAGGAGCTGGAGAGCCAGGGGCCAAGCTGCCCTGCCCGCACCCCCCACCCCATCAGCCTCCCTGTCTCGCTGCCCACCGCAGGACTCACCCAAGAACTGGACCCCAAAGTAACAGGCTTCAGTGAGCAGAGTCCATCGGATGATAACCTTCTCGGCCGTGTAGAGAGCGTTCCACATGATCAGGGAGATGCCTGGGGCGGGGGAAAAAGGGCAGATTGGGATCAGGCAGTTTGATCCACCCACCCCCTTGGGGCCGGGGCAGGATCCCAGACTTCTACATCCCCCACCCCCACTCACACTCCCCACATTAAAACTCATCCATCATCCGACTTAACCCCATAACCCTAGGTCTCCCGCTGCCTGGGCGAAGGGCTTTGAAGGCACCCCAGTCGCCACCAGCCCCCGCCCCTCCCCCGGTACCAGTGCAGACCCCTGAGGGATGGCTATTAGTGCCATCGGCACGAGGTTGGGGAGACTGCGTGTACAGAAGCACGGAGGCCTGCTGAAACAGCGGGGCTGGGCATCATGAGATGTGGCTGGGGTCCGGGGCCCACTGTGGGATCTGGGGGAGGCAGGTCACAGACCACCCCAAAAGCCAGGTGGAGGGGCTGGGCCTTTATTCTGCAGGCAAAAGGGAGCCATAGAATGTTTGGGTGAAGAGGAGGGACACTACCTGTGCTAGGCTTTAAAAGCTGTACCTCAGCTTCCTACCAGGAACTGTGTGTGACTCAAATCAGAGAGGAAACGGGGCGGTTCAAATGAGAGGCCCAAGGGTGGGAGGGGTTTTCCAGACACTGGGTTGATTTTGCCTCCTCCTCTAGGTGGCGAGGTCCTGGAGGGCAGGGCCTGAGCCTCATTCATCCCTGCACCCCAATGACCAGGGTGGGTGCACTACACAGTAAGCACTCGGTAAGCCTTCGCCCCAGGCGACGGCAAAGACGCCGCCCTGTCCCCTGGGTGTATTCCAGCAGTGGCCACAAGATGGCAGCACACACCTAGCAGAGACAGACTCCTCAGCTGAAGGGGGTAGGCGGGGTGCTGGGAAGGGGAGCCCCTGCACCAAGAAAGGCTTCCCCAAGCTCCTCTCAGTCTCTGTTGGGCCGTAGCTGCCCCTTATGTCTGCCCTGGCAATACTCACTGAGAAGCGCACCGCCATAGAGGCGGATGGGGGTCTTGCTGGTCACCTGGGCTCCATCAAAGACGGCATCATAGAGCTGGTCAGGGAAGGCGAGGGCCTGCGGGCATGGGTAGGCAGTTCAGGGTAAAGTGGGAGGGGGTTGCTGCTGAAACACCCCCTGGACATCTTCCTTCTTCCCCACCCCCCGCCCCGAAGCCGGGCTGAGGTGCCTGGGGCAGTCCAGTGTCAGAGCCGTGGCTGTCCCTCACTCCCCTGTGTCAGGACACAAGGCTCTAGATTCCCAGGGGCAAGGAGTCAGGAACATGGACCATGGGATCCAGGATGCTCCAGAGCAGGCAGGGTTCAGGCTGGGACCGTGGAGGGAGCTAGAGAGCCCTGACAGGTAGAGCGATGCGGGGAGAGGCAGCCCCAGGGCAGGGGAGGAGCCCCCAGGAGAGGCCCGGAGGAGGGACATAGGGAGCCAGACCCAGGGCCAGGTCCTGGGGGGGGGGGGGGGGGGGGGCTCACCATGATGGCAATGCCAGAGAAGAGCACAGCAGAAGCAAACTGCCAAACCCTGGGAGCGTGTGGAGAGAAAAGTCACAGCCAGGCCCCCTCGCTGCCACATCCAGGCCCCAGGGGACCCTCCCTTCTCCAGCCAAGTGGTCCAGGGATGGCTGGTTTTAGGGGGAGGGAATGTGATGGGATGAAGTCACAGGCACAGGGACATGGGGGCAAAGGTGACGAGGCAGGACCTCACGCAGCACCTGCCCATAACCCGGCACCCACCAAAACTCACGCTCAACGCTCACCTCAGCCCCAAAGGCTCCCGAACAGCAAACTTGATTTCATTGCCCAAGACCTGGCTGATCTGTGGACAAAGAGGGGTCAGGTGCACGCCCAGCCCACTCACTCCCCTCCCTGAGCCCCTGGCATGCCCAGGGACCCACCTGGGTTCTTCTGCTTAGCCCAAGGGTCCCCCAGGCTGGGAAGGTCACACTGAGGTCACCCCCCTCTGCCTCTTCTTGACACCAGAGCTTACGGGAAGCTGAAAATATGGTGAGTAAGATTAAAGCTCAGGGGTCTGCTAGACACAAGCTTAAAGCCTGGCTGTGCCACTTACCGGCTTGACCTTGACTTCTCTGAGCCTCAGTTTCCTTATCGATAAAATGGGTTCATAACTATGTCCCAGGACAAGCAGGATTAAATCATAAAGCAACTGGCGCAATAATGGGCACATAATAAGCACGAAATTCATTCTAATGATCTGTCTTGTCTTCATTTTTGTTATTATTCCCCTGACATCTCCATTAAGTGCCAAGAAAAAAAAAAAAAAAAAAAAGGAGCTACGCCCCAGGGCTCCCACAGCTCCCCAGGCCGTGGGCTGCTCTTCCCCCAAATGGCAGGCCAGACCTGCCTCCCCAGATGGGTGTTCAGAGGCGGACCCCTGGGTGTGGCCAGCTTCAGGCCCGTCTGCCCACCTTGGAGCGGTGTACCTCCCCGTCGTCGTCCTCCCCGCCCACGCCGAGGATCTTGCGGGTCTTCAGGCGGCTCACGAGGTCCGTCTGGCTGTGCTTCTTCATGAGAGGTGGGGGCTGCTTGGCCGCCATCTTGTCCTGGAGCCCGGTGCCTACAGAAGGGCTGAGGGGAGACCCCAGCCGCAGCCACAGGTCCTGACCAGCTCCCAGACTCAGGGGCAGCCAGACCTGACCCCGGGGCCTGGTGAGACCTCCCTGTCAGCCTGGGGCAGCATCTGGAATACCGACAAGAAATCTGGGGGGCTCAGACTTAGTACTTGGCTCCTTAACCACCTGGCTGTTTGATGAAAGGGTCTCTCCCCTTCCTGGCCTCCGCTCCCTCATCTATAAAATGGATGGGGGAGGATGTCCCTAAAGCTCCTCCAGCTGTGTGAGCCCATCTGGCCTCCACGGACATGGCGCACCCTGGGTAATCAGGCTGGTTGGCGCCTTACAGATGGCCCTGGAGCAGTGTGTGGGCCCGGGAAAGGCATTTGGACCCAGGTGGAGACCACATTCAAAGGTTCCTGGGAGGTGGGGGCAAACAGGAGTCCAGGCCAGTCATGCCAGAAGAGGGAGCATCTGCCCAAATCCTGGGGTCCAGGTGCCGCACTGAACTTTTGCCCAGATAATCTCTCTGTCCAGCAAGCCCTCCCTCCCTGTCTCGAAGACAACCTCCTTCAAATCTGCCAGGACTGAAAGAAGGGGAGGGGGGTGGCCCCAGGACCCAGGGGATCCAGAGGAAGGATGGCCAGGAGAGCCTTCTGGCCAGAGACACCCACCCCATGTCTGCTCACGGTCCTCCACAGCCCCACTCCCCAGCCACCCCCCCAGCTCCACCTCGGGTCGGGTCTTGGGCACCTACTTTGTGCCAAGCACTGGGCTGGGAGACACAGAGATGAGGTGACCGCTGGTCTCGCCTTCAATCAGCACAAAACCTATGCAAAGGAGACAAAAGTGTCGACTCCAGTGAGGCAAAGGCTTCCAAGAGTTGGCCCAGGGGTGGCCCTGGGCCCCTCTAGTCACAGCCCCCCCATCCCTGGCACACAATGGGAACGATTTACACCCATTCTACAGATGAGAAAACCAAGGTCAGCAAAGTTCAACAGAGACAGGGTTGAGTAACTCCAGGACCCCCCACCCAACAGCACCGCATGCCATATTCCAGCATCTCATTCCATAGAGGCCCACAGACATCCGTTGGTCAGTCTCAGGGGTCTCCGGTGAGTGATGTCCAGCCCCCAGGCCTTAGTTCCTCATCTACGAAATGGGGGTCGCTATGCGGTCCCCTCCCCCCCACCCCCGGGGGCACGGAGGTGGTCGGGGTTGGCGATGACAACCGAAGACCGTTTGATGGGGGGAGGGTGGCCAGCCCCACTGGAGAAGGCAGGGTTTAACCACGCTGCTCCCCCGGGCGGCCGGGCACTGTCCCCACGCCTCAGCACCTGCCACCACTTCTCGAGACGCCAGAGTGAGGTGATAATCAGCCTGGTGTCCCTCCCGCCGCCCGGGGGCCCTCCACGAGAGCTGCCAGCCACAGCTGGGAACCGCGGGGGCCGCCTCCCTCGCCGGGCCTCAGCCAAGGAAGCACCGGGGAGCCTGGTCCTCACCCTCCTTCCTCTTCTGGCCTCCCCTCTGGCCTTTCATTTTTTAATTGACATACTGCAGAACCGACATTCTTTGTTGTTGCAGCTACACGACTTTTAGCACACCTATAATTGCAGAGAACGACCACCTGCGAATCGGGACACCTGCCCTGGCCCTCCCCTGCCCTCCCACCTCGCCCCCGGCAGCCACTGATCTCTGGGCCGTCGCTCTAGCTTGGTATTGTTTTTTCAAACACGTTCTATAGACAGACTCATATAGCCGAACACCACTTGAGACTGGCTTCTTTCATTCCGCGTAAGGCTAAAATGCCTCCGAGACTCGTTCGGGCTGCTGGGCGCTTCCCGTATGGTCCTCTTTAGGGCCGGGTAATATCCCATGGGGGAAGATGCACCAGTTAGTTTACCCCGCCACTCACTGAAGGCCGTCTGGGTTGTTTCCAGAGTTTGACAGTTGCGCACAGGTCTCTGTCCTGTGGCGTAAGGTGGCACTCGGGTCAAGCCTGCCAGGCCCCAGGCTGTCTCAGTGACCCCCTGCTCAGAGCATCAGCTGCCTTCCTCTGCCCGAAGAGCCCTCCCCACCAACACGCACACAAGGCTCCCCTCTGCACCGCAGGCCCGAACCTGCAAAGCAAGGGCTGTGGGTTGGGATAGTGCCAGCCTCCTGGGACGGGGTACAGCAAGGGGACGGCAGTGGCCTGGGCTCCACTGGACACCAGCATGACTCTTAGGGGGACAAGCTTCATCCACAGGCACCGCCATCAGGTACTTGGGCTGGAGGGACCCACTGTGGTCTCCCCCGCCCTGAGCCCAGCCGCCAGCAGGGAGCTCACCACCCCCAAAGGGCCCTAAGGCCTCCTGGGGAGAGTGAAATCAGGGAGTAGGGTCCCCAACACCTGCCTTGACACAGCTAACTACTCTTGAGCACTGAGTTCTGTCTCTTCTTCCCCCACAGCACGGGGCCCCGCCTGGGGAGTGCAGGTAGACAGCTGCAGTACCCCATGCACCTGCCAGACCCCCCCATGCCTCCCCCAAGGCAAGGCACGGCACATACATGGACTCCTCAGACCTGCCCTCGAACTTTCTTCCCCTTCCCACTCCACAGGTGTTTTTCAGCCCGGCCTCATTTTAACCTAGGTGAGGACAGAGCGCACCTCCCTCCGCTCCACTCCCTGCACCGCCGCTGAGCCGGGGGTGCGTTCGGATCCTGGGTCTGCTCTCTCACCAGCCGCAGGGCTTCAGGCAGCTCCATGCAGCTCTCCCAGCCTCAGGGTCTGCCCTGTGAAATGGGGTTAGTAAGAACACTCCCTCTGTGCGAGTGCGGGAGGCTCAGGACAGGGAACATGCGCAGGGCCTGGGGCCAAGTGCCCTGCCTGTCCACACTCCTACTTCCCGTTCTTCATGCGGCCATTGAGCCATGCACAATGGAAACAGCCGGCCTGATAGGGCTGTTGCTTCCTTTCCAGAGCCAGCTGCCCTCCGAAGGGCCCCCAGGGCTCCCCCTTACCTCTGTGCCAGGCTGCCCGAGGCTAAGGGCCGGGCAGGTGGAGGAGAACCTGCCACGCAAGGAGCTGGGACAAGGCAGCCTGCAGCCCCCTAGAGCCCGAGTTCATGACCCTCTACATTCTGCACCTGGCGGGCCTCTCCGACCTCAATTCCCAATAAAGCCAGGTGGTTCCCAGTTCTGAACCACTGCCCAGCCAGGAAGGTCCTCCTTGAGCCCTGCTCCTTCCCACCTCCACCCTCCTTATTCTTCAGGGCCGCACAGCCCCTCCTCAGGGGCCTTCCCAGGACACATCCCCTTCCTCTGTCGCCTGGACTCCCGTGGGTCTCAGCGTGGGTGGCCACAGGAGGCCACTGCCAGCCCATACTCCTGGTCCCGTCACGGGCACTTGGGCTCCCGGAGACCCCGTGATCTGAAGGCAGGGCTGCTGCCTGGTCCGAGAATCTCCCCGCTGCACCTCTGCACACAGTGGGTGCTCGGTCGGCACGGGCCAGTGAGGGGCAGCCAGGCCACGGGAAGCAGGCCTCCCTAACCCCATCCAGAACACCCGGGGTCACACTCAGACGGGGCAGGGCCCAAGGGGAGGCTCGGCTCCAAACACACACTGGACGAGGCAGAAAGCTTTCTGCCTGAAGCCCGGAGAGGGCCAATGAGCCAGTGGCTGGCGAGTGCAGGAAAGGAGCTGTGCAGTCAGGCAGGGCTGGCTTCGAATCAGACCTCTCCCACGGGCCGGTGGCCTCGGACCAGTGGGTCTAGGGTGCTGAAGACATAGGAGAGTGGGTACAGATGCTCTTGGCGAAGGGTCTGGCCCATGCAGTGCCCAGGAAATGGTGGGGGTCAGGACTAGGGGAGACAGTGTGGTGAGGCCTCTCGATGCCCCCCTCCTCAGAAAGCTGTGGCCATCGCTAGAAGACCAGCACCCCGGGACAGGGCTCTCTGTAGGCCTGGGACACTTCCTGGCACGTGAGGAGCTCACCAAATATCTGTCACCAAGTCGTGAGTTGGGGAAGGGGTTGCTCCCCCCACCTGACCACTGGCCAAGATCTGACTCCCTGCAGCACAGCCCCCCCCACACCCCTGCCCGCCCCTCCCATCAAGTGCAGGGACACCTGAGGGCAGGAAGAACATCCCCAAAGAGCTCCCAGTGGCAGCAAGACAGAGGGGGTCATGACTAGACAGAGGCCGGGAACAGAGAGGCTTATCAGGGGTGCAGGTGTCAGGGGAGAATGGGGGCGGTGCATATACTTAGCGATTAGGCAAGCTTGGTCTCAAACCTCAACTCTTTCTCTTGTCTGTGACCTCAAGAAAGTTCCTAACCACTCTGAGCTTCCATTTCTTCCCTGGTGGAACCACGGTACTATTTTTTAGCTCACGGGGTTGTGATGAGACACTGAGCAAAGGCAATCAGGGTGCCCGGCACCTGCCGCAGGCTCCATACAGGACAGCCATTAACGGCATTGCTTATGGGGGGGCTGCCAAGGCCCTGTCCTGGCGGCAGGTCAGGTGGGGCTGGGGCGTCATTCCCATGCTGGTCCTAAAGGACCTCTCCGCACCGCCCCCCCCTGCAGCCTTCCCAGGAAGCCTGGTTTCCATAGAAACAGTCGGACTGCAGAGCTGTCCCCGGCATGGAGACTGTGCCCATGAGGGCTGGCTTAGAAACCTGACCAGCAGTGGGGGTGGGGGGGAGGCGCAGAGGAAGGGGGCCTGGGGCCCAGCACACCCACCAGCTGCTGGGCCTCCCGGTGATGCAGGGGGGAGTCACTGTGACACTGAACATCACAGCCAAGAACCACTTCCTTTTCAAACAAGACCCTTTGCTGGAGGGACAGTGCCCCCCGTCCCTCCCCATCTGGTAGGAACTGCCCCTGAGAGCATCCACCCCAGGGCTGGAGGCAGAGGACAAATACTTCTAGGCCAGGAATTCTTGGCAGCCCCCAAACAACCCGATGAGAATGGCTGTACTGTCACCCCCATTCTACAGACGAGGAAACTAAGGCCTGAGGGACTTATTCAAGCTTCTCAGGGTTAAGTGGCAGAGCTGAAATCGGGAGCAAGTTAACTACACTATAAATGGATATCCTGAGAGGAGCTGGTGTGTGTGTGTGTGCGGGCCTGGGGTGCTGTTTGGTGAACCTGACCTCTAGCAAGAGCTAAGCCGTAAGCCATCTTCCTCCTCACATCGCCTCTTGAAAGCCCCTGGCAGGTTGCCAATATCTGAACTCCTTCCTTCCTGGGGTCTAGCCTCTCTTGGGTTAAGGCCTTGTGACTCCAGCGGGACCAGGGAAGGGCTACAGGGAGACCCATTGTTCTCTTATCACACTGGTGCAAAATAGCTGGAAACAGGGTGTGGGACCGGGCAGCGCCAGGAGAGGGGGCAGTGACAGAGGGCGCCTCCGGGCGGGCGGTCAGAGAGAAGGGGAGGCAAGGAGAGAGGGCCAGCAAGGAGGCCAGGGAGGCTAGAAGGTCCAGAGCCCCCCTGCCCCATCATCCACCCCGTGGTCCCTTCCTGGGGTGGCCCGTCAGCTCCTTGGCTGAGAGGCCCCCCAAAGACCCCCAATCCAGAACCCCCCAGCCTGAGCCCTCAGGCAGAGTGAATCTCACTTCTCGAGGGCTGTGCTGGAGAGGCGTGGGCGTGAACGGACCCACGTTCATTCCTGGCTTGAGCCTTGGGACCCATTAGCCATGCAGACCCTCCATTCCTGCGCTGTAAATGGGGGTCAAGATGCCTGACTTACCAGGTGGGTGGCAGAATTACAGCGAAACCAGGAAGTCACAGGACACAAAGGGGGCTTCCTGATGCCTGACTGACATCATGACTGACGTCATCTCCATGGCTTCCCGGGTGCAGGTTTGGTCATGTGGGTCTCGGGGCGAAGGCACCAAGCCAAGGCAAGGCTGCGGCAGCAGAGCCTCCTGGAGGTGCGTCCCTCGAGAGCATAGTCATTCTAAAGGCCGAGCCTGCCTGAGTCAGCCTTGCCTCTCGAGTAGATGAGTAGACGGGGAGCCGGTCCCGCATCATCCATCACCCGCCTCCCCGCCGGGCTCAGGGTGGATGCGAGCGGCGGGACGACAGGTAGAGCTGGAGCGGGGCAAGAGGGGGCACAATGCGAAGGCCGCTGGAGGGACAGACCTAGTCCCGGACTCAAGGAAGGGATTCCGCGTCCCATTTCCAAGAACCTCCAGGAACATGGGAGCTGGCATGGGGCCCAGAGGGGACACAGGACAGCTGAGGTCCCCAGAGATTCTGTCTGCCACCGCAGCGAAACCAGGGCCCGACTTTGGGACTCGGGCACCTCATCTAAGGAAAACTGGGAGTGTGGTCTCTGTCATGTTCCCGATGTGGCTTCTAAATCCACTCGCCGGCAGGACACGAGGCCCTAGCTCCAGCTGCCGGGCTGCCGCTGGGGACACACAGAATTTATCTGCTAGTTCTCTTTCTTTTGAAGGTGCCTGATCTCCAGAATGGCAGAGGGAAGCCCAAACGTTCATCACAAACATCTCCAGAGCTTCGGGGACCAAAAATAAACATTCCCTGCACCCTGGAAAGGCTGGGAGAGCAGAGCAGAGGAGGGGACATCCCTGGGCCTCACCCCCCTGGGTCTGAGGCTGCTGTGCAAGGGGAATTCAGCCCCCTGACGGCCAGCCGTCACCACTAAGATGTCACTGGGAGGGTCGTCTGTGTCCCTGCTGACACAGAAGGTGAGCGCAAGGGGAATTTCTGTCCTTTTCAATGGGGAATGGGCTTGCCCCCCTCCCCACCAGCCCAGTGACCACGTCAGGGCCCTCAAAGGCAGCTGGTGCTTCCAGGGGCCAGGGCTCTGGTGAGGGGCAGCGGACACATGCCATTCCCCTCACCGCCCCTCCCACCTCTCTCCAAACCTCCGAAACGGGAGAACAAGAGGGGAGCAGGTGAACTTCCCTGCAGGGATGCTCCACCATTTTAAGCCAACTTTTCCAGAAGCAGGAGGTGATCTGCCTTCTGGGTGGGTTGGGGGAGGCAGGCAAAAGGGTCCCTGTACTTTTCCCAGGATGCTATGGGCCAGAACAACAGTCCAGGACTGACCATCTCCCCCCAGGGTCTGGGGCTCTGGCTCAGGGTCAAAGGAGTAGATCAGGACTCAAAATGCCTGTGCTTAAATCCTGGTTCTACCATTTATTAGCTGCATGGCCTTGGGCCAGTGACACCATCTCTCTGGGCCTCGGTTTCATCTGTGAAATGGGTGTAATAAGGACACCTACAACCCACTGATGAGAAGATGCACAAAAACACCTAGAACCGTACCCGTTTTATAATGAATGCTCAGTAATAACGTCGCTGCTGTTATTCTCGGGCTAGGAGACTCAGCTTCTTTGCCTCCGTTTCCCCCTTGACCATACCAGCTTCAGTCCCCTTCAAGGAGCTACACGTGGATACAAAATGGGGTGTTTACAAGGGGTGGCCTTAAGAAGGAAATGGGAAGGGAACAAGGGTCACGCTGGGTCAGGAGGAAGATGCTGCCCTGAGGCGCTCACAACGGCTGACAACGGGGGGCAGGGATACAGAACACCTTGAGGTACTAAGCCTGGGTGGCTCCCCTCCACGTTTCCGGCACTTGGCCAGGCCTGACCCTGGCAGGGACGCAAACCAGTGTTGCCAGTGAGTAGCCGAGATGCAGGGTGAAGTGAAAATAGTATGGACCAGGAGGCAGAACATCAGGCAGTCCGCCCTGCCGTTGCGGCTCCTGCATGTCCTGTGCTGACTTCCAGGTCATCTCTGAGCATCACTTCCCTCATCTGTGAAAAGGACACCCTTCATCCCTTTTCAGTCAGCTTTGCCTCCTATCTGCCCCACCCCCTCACTCCACTGGAACCACAGTGGTTCCTTACGGTTCCTCAAATATGGCGGACATATTTCAGCCCCAGGGCCTTTGCACAGGCCATTCTCTGCAGGATCTTTATTTCCCCAAGCTATCCCCACAGTTCACTCTTTCAGAGCCTTGGCTCAAGAGTCACCTCCTCAGGAAGGCCACCTTATTTAAAATGGCAACCCCACCCCATTAAAATGGCAAAACCACCCCAGCCTCAACATGCCTAACACTCAACTTCCCCCCCACCTCCCAATACACTATATACTTTATTTTATTATTTGTGCCTCCACCATTTACGTGTCAGCTCCATGAGGGAAAGAATCTTTGTTTTGTTCTCAGCTGTCTCCCAGTGCCCCGAACTGTCTGGCACTTGGTTCACTAAATCACCTTTGGTATAGGGTCCACAATTTGTTCAATCAAAGGAAAGAAGAGTCTAGAACTATGTATATCAGGGGTCACTGCTAATTTCATTGCTCTCCTACCCTCACACAGTGAGGGGCAGGCCCTTTGGGGGGGGTGGTGGCTAGCAGAAGATTTGGGGGGGAGGGGAGGCAGCAGAGTACAGAGTTGGAGAAGCTACAGCAGGAGCCTGGGGGCAGGGATCCAGCAGGTGTTGACAGCCAGACATGGGTGAAGGCCTTTGGGCCCCAGCCCTGCACTCCAAATTTGGAAGAACTGATTAAACCCACAACATGTGGGCAGAAAAAGAGAAGCCAGGGCAGCTTGCTCCTGGCTAATGGAGCCAGAGGGGACCTCAGGGACCAGATGGCCCATTTTATAGATGGCACAACAGAGACCTGGAGAATACACAGTGCCTTATTTCCTAACAACCCAACAAGAAAAACTTTCCCTCCTCCTGGGCTGAGCGTGGGGCTGGTGTGAGGCTTTGGCTAAGGAATGGACAGTGTCCCCTCCTGGCGCTCCACCAGCTCTTCCCACCCCACCCCACTCTGTGTCCCTGGGCTCTTTGGGCTGCAGAGGGTCGTGGGCCCCTCTACACCGGCCACCAGAGGTGTAGGTCCAAGAGGCCGCACAGTTGGGGTGCCATCCCCGCGGCCCTGATGCCTTCTCCCCGCAGGACGGCCCCACCAGGAAAAGTTTGTCTGAAGGAAATGAACCAGGAAGCGCGGGGCGGTGGTGGGGAGCCCCGAGGTTCCGGCCTCCGCGCGCTCCAGCCGCCCCCCCCCCCCCCCCCCCCCCTTGCTCCAAAGAAGAAACCCGTTCCCCTGGGGCCGCGAGGGGGAGGCGGGAGCCCGGCACTGGGTGGGGCAGGGAGGGCGGAGCGAGGGGAGGCAACGCAAGCGCCCGACCCTGACCCGCGCGCCGGGGTTGCGCGCGGGGTTCTGGCGGTTCCTCGATAGACCCCCCCACCCACCCCGGGGTGGGTGCGAGTATTTTGCCCCTGGCAGGGAGCCCCAGCCCTCCGAGAGCCAGGCCAATGGCCCCACACTGCCACCTTCCCGCTGAGCGCGCGACTTAGATGAGTCTGGGGGGCGTCCGTCTCCACCTGTGCTTCCCGGACCCTCCCACCCAACAACTGGGGCTTAGGCGTGGCTACGATTTCTGCCTCCTCCCCCTCCCCCCCCACCCCTACCTTCCTTGCCCGCCCGGAGACCAGGGTCTCTCCCAGTCTGGCTTCCTCCTTCTCCACTGTGTCCTTCCTCTCTTAGCTCCAGGCACTCACCCACTTTCTGAGACCCGGGCCTGAGAGCTGGGGACCCCAGGTGGAGAGCTCCGGGCGGCTGGGCGCACCCACGGCCCGCCGAACCAGTAGGTCGGGCCAGCGGGAACTCCGCCACCGCGGTCCGCGGCCCTGCGGGGGCGAAGACAGAAGGAGGGGCACTCGCAAGTTTGTGCCGCGCACTCCTCGGACCGGGGAACAATGGCGATGGGGGGAGGGGACAGAGAACCGAGCGCGGGGACAACAGTCAGACCCCAGGGAGACAGAAACTGCTGTTGGCTCTTTCTCTCTAGCTCCGAAGCAGAGGGGGAGGCAGGGGGGGAAATAAACAGTCCAACGGGGAGGAGACAGCGGAGGCAGAAAGCCGGGGGAGAGAGGGAAACCAAAGCAGCGGGAAGGGCGGCGAGTGGAGAGCGCCAAAGGAGGTGACCGAAGGGGCTGCGGGACTGCGCCTTGGGGGGGGGGAGGGGACCCGTGGAGTCCCAGCATTATCCGCCGGGGCCAAGAGGTCCTGGGGCGTCCAGCTTGCGCGCACGGGGTCCCCAGGTCCGCCGCGGTCTCCGCGGCGGCAGAAGCCCCGCGGGGCTGGGCTGCGCTGCGCAGGCACCGGCCGGCGGCGGGAGGGGAGCGTGCGAGGCTCCGAGGCGGCGGCGGGGAACAGAACTTACGTTCCTAGCGCATGCTGGCGCCGGCGCTGCGCGGAGCTGGCGAGCCAGGGGACGCTCGGGCCCTCGGGAGCCTCACATCGCGCCGCGCGCGCGGGGCAGGGCAGGGCAGGGCCGGGCCGGGCGGGACTGCGCGCGGCGTCCTGCGCGCCCGGGGTTTACCCGAGTCTGGCGGCCCGCGCTGGTCCCTCCTCTCAGTCCCGCGCGCAAGCCAATGGCGCGCCGTCCCCTCCCACGCGCCGGCTGCCTCGCCCCCGAGGGTGGCCGCCGGGCGGGAGGGGGAGAGGGGTTGGGGCCACTGGGCTCCGGGGCTCCCTGGCTGAGGCTCTCTCAGGGACTGCCTGTGGGGGGCGCGCTCACGCCCCGGGAGAAGGCGCTGGAGAATCGAAGCCGAGGGCCCGCGCGCCGCCCAGGAAGACTCTTGGCAAGTTCTGAAGACTGCGCCCCTTTCCTGAGACTCTCAACACCCCCATAGGTTGGCAAGCCACACTGTCTTAAATATCCTCGGGGTATCCCCTGGGGCCTAGGCCAGTGTCTAAAATGGAAGGGACTGCTTTGGCTGGTAGACACCCAAGTGTGTAGGGAACACAGTGACAACAATGGTCACCATCTGCTGAGCGCCCGCTCCGTGCCAGGCACCGGGTGCTCAAGGAGTTTCGAGCATTAACTCATTTGATTCCCACAACCTATGAAAGCGGCATGATTAATCCCATTTTACAGATGATGGTTAGTGACTTTTGATTTGGGCTTCCAGCTTAGACCCACCCTTCTCTCCCCCCCTGCATAGGACACCCACCCCCTCCACATACACACCCACCTTCTTCATCCTCCACCCTAAAATCTGGTCTCTGCGATGTTGCTCTAAACTGCACTGTCAGGGGATAAAGATCTTATCTGGGGCTCCTGGACATGTGGTGGGGGGCACAGTTGTCAGACCTTTTATCTCTGCACGTCCTGTGGGGGAAGTGAGGGGTGAAGGTGTGGTTTGGGGGTCCTGGAGGCTCTCTGGGAGCCTGTCAGCCTAAAAGAACCAGGCTCCTACAAACAACGCCCCCTCCCACTCTGGGCTCATTTAAATCCCCTGTGACCAGTGATGTGCCTCCCACCTCAAATCCCACCACCCTGCACCCTCCTTCTGAGCAAAATGCCTGGCTCTCTTCATCTTATCTGATGGGAGTGGGGGGTGGGTGGGTTCAGAAAGCCAAGGTTGATGACACGCTCCATTTCATGAGATCAGTAAATAGAGCGGGTGGAGGTGAGGTGAGTGGTTGCCCTGGAACTCTAGCTAGATGGGCATTTTGACTCTGGGTCTGAGCTCTTTCCGCATCAGTTCCTGAAGGGTTAATCAAGCAGGCTCTGGGACAAGACCTACTGCCCAGGTTCAAATCCTGGCCCAGCCATTTGGTAACTGTGTGGCCCTGTGCAAGTTACTTAACCTCTCTGTGGCTTGTTCCCTCCGCCTACAAAATGGGGCTGACCCATAGTAGGAAGTGCCCCTGGTTATGGAACCGCAGCAGCGCACACTTACTGAGCGCAGACTGTTTGCCAAGAAGACTCTCACTGCCCTCCCCAGAGCTGGGACTGGGCGGGAGAGGCTGTGCCCTTTACACGGAAGTAAACAGAACAGTACCTGGCTCTCGAGAATTCTCGGTGACTGAGCTGTCCTCATTACCAAGGGAACAACTCTGATCCCGAGGCACCTCTGTGGCCCACAGTGCCACCATCCCTGCTTCCAGACAAAGCCCTCAGTCACCGATGGCCAATAATGAGTAAGTGAATGAATGAATGAATGGCTAGAGCTACAGATCAGGATTGTTCCTAAGTGTGTTGGGTGAAGCACAGACCCAAGATCCACCTGACTCGAGGCTTGATAGTAGTCTTTGCAACAGCTCAGAGTCTCAGCTTGCTGCCTCAACAGAGCCGGCTCAAGCTGGGATGATGAATTCCTTTGTTGCCTCTTCTGTCTTCCCAGTGTGCAGGGCTCTGGGTTGCTGCCGGGAGGGTACCGACCTCACTAGTGTGAAGTGTCACCTCTGATTGTCCCCTTTGATATGGAGACACTGCCAGTGCTGCCCTTGGCATGACCACTGTACATACCCAAGAGCCTGACCTCACATCCATAAGAGGGACTCTGTAACAATCCCCCCAGGATCTCCAACATGTGAGGCGTTGCCTTAGTAGTAGTGAGCACCCTGTCACTAGCAGCATGCAGGCAGAAGCCAGGGAAGAGTCAATGAGGGGTGCTAGAGGAGGCATTCACACCTTAGGTGGCATAGGATGTGGATAACCTTTGAGCCCTGCAGGTCTTGATTGTGTGTTCTGTTCCCCAAGCCCATCAGCGGGGAGCCTGGGAGAACAGGCTGTCCCCCAGCCCAGCCTCATGAAGGAGGCAGTCTTGTCTGGGCCCTAACTGTGTGTCAGGCAAGGTGCTGAGTGCTGGGGCTCTGGTGGTAAACAGGATCCAGTGCCTGTCCTTGGGGATCTCACAGCTCCTGGGAGACAGATGCACATGCAGCAGCAGTGGAGGCAGCTCTTGGCGACAGGCAAAGGGGCTGGGTGGGCAGGAGAGGGAAGAAGCTCTCCATTACCCCCGCATCTGCACTCCCTAAAGCACCCACTGGAAACTCTTGCTCTCTACCTTCCCATAGAGTTTTCTAAAGTGATGTGCATCTAGTTCAGGAACGTTCCTTAGACTGCCATTCTGCTCTTAACTTCTCCATTACCTCATCTTTACACTGGGCATAAAAAAGATCACCATGCTGGGCTGTCGTGAGCCCGAAACTGACATTTGTCAAGTGCTAGGTGAGAACAAGGCAAAGGTAGGCAAGAACAGGTGCTCGGACCTGCTGACCATGAGGTGTCATCATTATTTGCAGCTCGGGAGAAGGAGCATTAGCGGAGGGGACGAGATAAGGGGGCTAGGGCCCTGGCTCCACTCCTAACTAGCTGTGTGACCCTCTGCTGCACCCGAGAAATGGAAATATAAAAACACCTGCCTCTGGGAGCTCGTCCTTGTCAAGTGAGGGATTAGATGAGAAAAGATCTGCAAACTGGAAATGCTGATCCCTGGTGCTATCATGTTTACTGGGATTCTCTTTGTGAAATTGTCCCTCAGAGCCCCAGGACGGTCGGGTGGGGTGGGCGTGGAGGTGGAGCCAAGGGCCAGCCAGCTGGGGGAGGGTCACTCCCCCCACCAGCCTCCCACTGGAGCCTGGGAGCAGCCTGCCCCATCCCCTTCAGCAAGGGCGGCAGCACGCTCATCGTGCCTGCGTGTGTGCATGCGTGCATCTGCACAGATGGGTGGCATGTGGGCGGGTGCGTGGCTGGAGGGTGGCGTGGGCACAGGAAATGCCAGCGTCCGTGGCCTGAAATCACCTGTGGACTGTGAATCCCTGGGGAGGAGTGCAAATGCAACTGGATTTCAAAGGTGCAGCATGGGACTAGTGTTGGCACCTGCGTGTTGGGGGGGTGAGGTGGAGAGGCGAGGGGAATGCCCGTTGGGCCTAGTCTTTGGGGCTGGGGACTGGGCTCAGCAGTGACCCCCTCCCTCGGGATGGGGGGTGGGGCACACAGAGGAAGAAGATGTCGTCAGAGGCCCCTGTGGTTGAACCCAGGGGTTTTAGAGTGGACAGACCTGGGTTCAAATCCTAGTTATGGATCATGAGCCCGTGCTTTCATTTCTCTGAGCCTCAGTTTCCTGGTCTGTGAAATGGGGGGATGGGTAGAGCCTACTTCTTAGGGGTTACTGGGAGTTTAACAAAGAGGACAGATGTTAAGCTCTTAGCAAGGAAGAGGCACTATTGTTGATATTAGTAGTAGTAACCAGAAGGAGAGAGGGAGAGGGACTCTGCAGGAGCTGGTGCTTGGTAAACTGTAAAAGGTACCTAGCTCTGGGGTAAGGAAGTTGTCAAGCCACGGTTAGCTGAAGCTGCCAGGAGGAGCACCATTTTGGACCAGGATGAAGGGGCCACTGTCCCAGGGAGTGAGGCAGAGGAGTTAGGCTTTTGTAACCCCTCCTGCTTCCCCTTCCCGGTTCCCCTCACTTCCTCTAGAGCTTCCTTCCTGGTTAGAGAGCCTGCCTGGTAAGACCTCTGGGAGTTTCCTCACCACTGCTGGGGGTCACAGGCTGAGCACAGCTTTGGGGATGGAGAGGAGCCTGCCTGGAGCAGGCCCTCTGAGACAGGCCTCCCCCACACTGCCTGGCCCCGCCTCCAGCCTGGGGAGACTGCCCAGGCTTCCTTCCCTCCACCCTGCTCCCTGGAGGCCGCCCTCCCTCCTATGAGTCATCCTCACTGCCACCAGCCAGGCTGAGGGCTGTCAGCTCCTCACCTGTGGGGAGACAACCCATCAGGATGGGGGTAGAATTGAAGGGGCTCAGCCCTTCCTACAGTAAGGGTGGGACAGCTTGGGGGCCAGAGGACCACAGCTGACCCTTTCCTGCTTCCAGAGGGCTGAGCTCCAGAGGGCAGGTACAGGCAGGACTTGGGAGTTAGACCATCCTGGATTTAGGCACAAGGCCCTAGTCCTCTGCTAACTAGCTCTGTGGTCTTAGACGACTTTCTCAGCCTCTCTGAACCTTGGTTTCTTCAGCTGCCCAATGGAAAGAGGAAAATCATGATGACTCTCAGGATACTTGGAGGATTAAGTTAGACTCTATATGTAAGTCCTGAGCTCGGGGCCTGGCTTACAGTAAGTGCTTAATAAATGTTCATTGACTCAAGGAATGAATGAACGTGCGGCAATGGCAGTGAGTTGGAGGGAGGGGTGGGGGTACACGTGGCTGTCTACAGGAAAGCCATCCTTCACCTCCACCTCCCTCCAGCCAGGAGAGTGAGGGGAATGTCTGGGGGTCCAGGACACCCCAAAACTCAGGATGGACTGTGGACTCTCCCTTGTGGGTACAGCTGATGCTTCTGCAAAGCCTCAGGCTGGATCAGACTCTCCAAGTGCTGAGCCCTGATTGAGAAAAGAATTGCTGTGTGGGTGGGGGCTGCAGATTGTAGACCCCAGGACTGCATCACAGTGAGAGCTGTGGGCTGTGAGGTCAGGGCCTTGGACCCCAGGTGGCCAGCTAGGGCTGTGACCAGCACCTCACCGGCCTCCAGCCCAAGGGCATGCTGGGCCACCTGGTGACCATACCCCAGAGGGCTTTTTCATC